CCCCAGAAATAAGACACTGTCTTATATTCTTTTTCAAGAAGACACGCCATGGCTAATTTTCAGGGGATGTCTGGAGGAGGAGGAGGAGGAGGAAGAGGTGACCCAGGGCTTGGTCCCTCCTTGGATGAGACAGACAACACCTTCCTCCCTTCCTCCCTCAGTCTTCCCCCCACTTTCCTACACACTTTTCCCACCCCAGTCTTCCCCTTTTCTAGTTGCCCCCTTCCTATCCCATTCTGTCTTACTTTTCCAGAGACTCCTTTCCACCTCACTTTCCCACTTTTCCAAACACTCCTTCCCATTCCAACTTTTTCCTGTTTCCAGTTGTAAAGAAGTGTTTATTATAATATGCTTATGACTGTATTTGTGTTTATATTGGTTGCCCTAAGGCTGGAGCGTCCTAGCTGAGAGGAAAGTGTTACCATGGAAACGAGGTAGAAGAGGAGGTGGGAGGAGCTTAGAGAGTTAAGGTTTTGTAAAGTGACAGTTAGAGTCAGTCAGGCCGGAGACTCTGAGAGAGCAGCAGAGTCAGGCCGGAGACTCTGAGAGAGCAGCAGAGTCAGGCCGGAGACTCTGAGAGAGCAGCAGAGTCAGGCTGAGGACTCTGAGAGAGCATCAGAGTCAGGTTAGGGACTCTGAGAAGCAGCAGAGTCAAGATTAGGGACTCTGAGGAGAGCAGAGTCAGGGTTTTAGGCTCAGGGAAGAGCAGAGACAGGATTGAGACTCTGAGAAGGAAGAGTCAGGGTTTAGTGGTCGTGAATAGTAGACTAGAGATCTGTAGTTTGATCAAGGATAGATCAAACAAGGAAACTATTCACTGCAGGGAACACTGGTTAACAAAGTACTTCACCTCAGCAAAAGTTCACAAGTAGTAACATCGAAAGACTGTATTGTTTCGCAACCAAGTAACATGTAACCTTCAATTTGCCAAGCTTATCATCGTCATACTGCAACCATACGCTTTGTTTAAAAATAAACTTGTTCTCTTTAGTTTTTTGTAAAACTGCCTCATCTCCATTTATTCTTCGTTCGTGTACCCACTCTACCAAAGTTACCTCACAACATAAACAGAGCCTGTAATACTAGAGCCTTTTTATAAATCAGTGGCTCCTCTCTCCTAAATATAAGCGTTTCCTCACTAATTGGTAGCCGTCTCTTTACAATTTGGTGGCAGCTTCATTACCAGTATTGGAGGTCCTTTACACATTTGGTGGCTTCTTCGCATTTTTTGGTGGCAGACGACGGGATACGTTTAACAACTGACCAAGTGCCTTAAGATTATTTTAAGAATAAGTTGTGAGGTAAAAGTTATTGGAATATGGCTACCAGGCGACGGAGAAAGCTTGTTGGGGAAACAGAGGGAGACCAAGGAGAAAGTTCGGGCTCTGAGGCAGAGACAGAGCCAATGCCTTTCTCAGAAATGGCTTATAAATACAAATTAGAGATGAAACGATTGGAGATGGAGGCAAAACAAAGAGAGTTTGAAGAAAGACAGAAAGAGAGAGAGCAGGAGTTAGAATTGAAGAGAATGGAATTTGAGTTGCAGAAGCAAAGATTGGCTTTGTCTCAAACATCCAGTGACATCCAGGAAGGGAGATCTGGAGTGGATACCCCAGATTTGATAAAGAGATTCCCTAAATTTACCAAGGACGATGACGTAGAGAAATTTTTGATCTCCTTCGAGAGATGTTGTAAAGATTTTGGGGTTCCTAAGGAAAAATGGATGATATATCTAAGGCCACAGATAAGTGGAAGACTTTTACAGATTTATGGAGATTTGCCTGAGGGGTCTTATGGAGATTATGATTTATTTAAGAAACAAGTTCTACAAGAGTTTCGATTGACTCCTGAATTCTACAGATTTAAGTTTAGGACCCTAAAAAGAGATAAAAACCAAAGTTTTGCTCAGGTGGCCTCTAAATTGTCTCAACTGTTTGATAGTTGGCTAAGGACGTCTGAGGTGGAAGATTACCAACAGCTGAGGGAACTTTTAAAGTTGGAGCAATTTTTTCAATTAGTGCCTTATGATATTCGTTGGGTGATTCAGGATCGCAAACCATCCACTATAGTAGAGGCAGCGGTTATGGTGGATCAAATAATAACCCTAAAAGAAGGATTCAAAAGGGAAGATCTGCCAAATGACAAAAGAACAAACAGGCAGCCATTTTTCCAACAACAAACGCGCCCACAGCAAGAAAAAGTTTCTGACTTAGAAAACACCACCTGGAGGAGGCAGAGTGTAACAAGTCAAACTGCTCCTGAGGGAAAAAGAAGATGTTTTCAGTGTGGAAAGTGGGACCATATAAAGTATCAATGTCCCCTTTTGAGAAAAGAGAAAACAACCCTCTTTGTGAATAAAGTAAAAGAAACAGAAAGGGCAGAACCAGATACTTTGTCAAAGGAGAGTTCAGGAACAGGGCCTCAAGAGAAACAGTGTTTGTTCATCTTGTCAAACACCCCATCTAAGGATTACTTAGAATCCATTTCTATTGATAACAAAGACATAAAAGGACTTCGAGATACAGGGTCCGAAGTATGTATTGTACACCCAGAAATAATACCTCAGAAATTTCAGCGCCCTATCTCTGAAATAAGATTAAAAGGCTTGGGACCTGCAATACCAACAGCAGTGGTGTCTTTGCCAATAGAATATGGAGGTTGGAAGGGTATGTGGGATTTTGCAGTCAGTCCAGACATACCATACCGATGTTTAATTGGAAATGATCTAGCTAAGAAGATTGAAAACTGGAAAATGACGTGTGAGGAGGAAGAATATAACAACAAAAGCCCTGATCAAAAAGCCATGTGTTTCGCCATACAACAGGATGGGGATGAGAATCCAGAATCCAGCGCTACGGTTGCTGAGCTTATTAAGAAAACGGGAGGAGTCAGAGAAATTCAACAGGAACAAAGAGCAGATGAATCTCTAAAACCTTTGTTCACTTTGGCTCAAAACCCCACAGTATCAGCAAAAGGACAGCCCTCCAAGTTTGTGTTAAAGAATGGTGTCTTGTATAGAGAAACCAGAAACATGAAGTCAACAGAAGGATCAGTGACATATAATCAGATTGTAGTACCTCAAAGTTTTAGAGAACAGCTGATGAGGGTGGCACACGAGAACCCTCAAGGTGGACATCTGGGCGTGAGGAAAACCACAAAGAGAATCACTAAGAACTTTTATTGGCCTGGCATGTTCCAGAAGATCAAAGAGTTTTGCCAGTCTTGTGATATCTGCCAAAGATTGAGTACTGGAAGGGATAAAATTAAAGCTCCTATGATCCCTATGCCGATAATTGGAGAACCATTTTACAGAGTGGGCATTGACATAGTGGGTCCTCTTTGTAAGCCAAGCAGACGTGGTTACAGATACATTTTAACCATGATTGACTACGCCACAAGATATCCAGAGGCTGTAGCTCTAACTAACATTGAGACAACAACGATTGCAAATGCACTGTTATCCATTTGGGGAAGAACTGGTTATCCTAGAGAATTGGTTTCGGATTTGGGAACTCAATTTACTTCCAGACTTATGTCAAAATTGCTTGAGTTATGTGGAATCAGACACCTGACTTCAACAGCTTATCACCCACAGACAAATGGACTAGTTGAAAATCTGAACAAGACTTTAGTCAAAATGATAAAGTCTTACAGTCAAAAGAAGCCATACGACTGGGACGTCAAACTGCAACAACTGTTATTCGCCTACAGGACCGTCCCTCATGACAGTACTGGCTACAGTCCGTTTGAATTGCTATATGGAAGGAAAGCTTGTGGTCCATTAGACCTGATAAAGGAATATTGGGAGGAAAATCCAGCAACAGATCCAGTTCCAGTGTCGGAGTATCTAAAGGATCTTCAATCAACAATGCAACTGGCTAGGGACATTGCACAAGAACATTTGCTTGCAGCACAGCAGAGACAAAAAGACTATTATGATTCTACTGCTAAGCCAAAGATCTTCAACATCGGAGATGAAGTTTTATTTTTATCTCCCAACAAAACCAACAAACTTCAATTAGATTGGTCGGGACCCTGGAAGATCACCAGGAAACACAACCAAATAAACTATGATATCTATGATGAACATTCAAATGTGGAAAGAAGAGTTCATGTAAACATGTTAAAGCCTTATGTTGGAAGGTCTGCTAATGTGTATTTCGTTGTTTCGGAAGAAGAATCCGGTCCCTTTTCTTTTTGGGAGGGTGATCGTGAACAATACAAAAATTTGGATCGAGTAGAAATAAACATAGAATTGTCCCAACCACAGCGAAGAGAGGTTGTGGAAGTTTTGAGTAAATATAAAGATATATTTTCAGATTTACCAGGGAAGGTCCAGGGAGTCCAGCATCAAATAAATACTGGTGATGCAGCTCCTATAGCGTCTCCACCCTACAGAGTCACAGGGAGAATTAATGAATGTATTGAAAGGGAGATCAAAGAAATGTTGGACCTAGGTATCATCGTTCCATCAATTAGCTCTTGGGCTTCACCCATAGTATTAGTACAGAAGCCAGACAAGACAGTTAGATATAGAGGGTGAGGACAGACCTATTTTGTTTTTGAGTAAAAAATGGCATTCCAATGAATATAGCATGTCAACAATGAAAAAGAATGCTATGCCATCATCTGGTCAGTTAAAAAATTAAAGCCATATTTGTGGGGGAGAAAGTTTACCTTACAAACGGACCATGCTCCATTAAGATGGCTAGATAATGTAAAAGGTACAAATAACAAATTGTTGAGATGGAGTTTATGTTTACAGGATTTTACATTTGAAATTAAACATGTTTCAGGTAAACGAAACATAGTTGCAGACGCCTTATCTAGAATTTCGTAAGGTTAAAGGTTTGTATGTATAAATTATAATATATTTAACCATAATATGTTTGCCTTTCAGAAATATTGTGTATTTTAATATTGTTGGATAATTTGTGGAATTATTTTTGCCCATTCCGGGATTGAGAATGGTCCAAAAATATTTTTTTCTGGGGGGGAAGGTGTACAGAAGTTGATTGTAAATGATATGATTATAACTGTATTTGTGTTTGCACTGGTTGCCCTAATGCTGGAGCGGCCTAGCTGTGAGGAGTGTGTTACCATGGAAACGATGCTGTAGAGAAGTGGGAGGAGCTTAGAGAGGAGAGTTTTGAAAAGCGACAGTTAAAGTCAGTTAGGGGTTTAGGCTCAGAGGAATGAAGAGTCAGGTTTAGGCTCAGGGAAATGAAGTGTTGAGAGAGAGAGAGTGGGAAGTAGAGAAGCAGTGTTTGTGAATAGTCAGAGGTTTCTTCAGTTTAGGAAGGCTGAAGGGGAAACCTTATTAGTTTCATTAGTTAGAGAAGACTAATAGAAGCTTGTTTAGATCACTAGTTAAAAGTGAACTAGAGATCTGAGGTTTGATCACGGAAGGATCAAACAGGAAGACTATTCACTTCAGGAACCATTGTTTAATAAAGTGCTTCACCACAGCAAAAGTTATTGATAAGTTGTAACATCAGAAGTCTGTACTGTATCGCAACCAAGTTATATGTAACGTTCTCCAAGCATCTTCCAAGTTTATCACCAAACTGCAACCATACGCTTTGTTTCAAAATAAACTTGTTCTCTTTGATTTTAAGACTGCCTCATCTCCATTAATTCGGCGTTCAGTGTGCCCAATCTCCCAAAATTACCTCACATCACAAATTGGTGGCACCATTAAGAATAATAAATAATAAATCGTAACTTCTCTCTCCTGAAACCCCTTTTCTTTGAATTGGGGCAAGCAGCCCTTCGCAGTGCACGGTGGGCACATAATGGTGAGTGATGGGAGAAGGGAGTAAGTAGCAGAGGGAATGGCATAGAGTATTATGGATACAGGCTAATCTAACTGATTCGCAATATGAGATGGAATGATTCTTATACTGCAGCATTTTTATTTGCAAGTCCTACTCACCTATGGGTAATTAGAAGTTGACCTCCTACCTGAGGAATAATTGTGATTTTGCTTCTCAGATCATGCAGGCCTATTTGGGTGATATTGATCCCATCAATTATGATCTCTCCCCCAGCAGCTTCCACTAGTCTTAGAAGGCCCATCGCAAGAGAAGATTTCCCAGCACCTGTCCTCCCAGCAACGCCAACCTAGAAATAATTATTATTATTTTACTGACATAAAAACACACTATGTCACAGCAAACAAGATATATATGCTGGATTTCATGTCACAAAATCACAAGTCGAACACTTCCCAAGCATTTAGAACTATTGTGGTTGTTGTTGTCTTTATTATGTTAATTATGTTAATTTATACCCCCACGTTTTTCTCTCCTCAAGGTGACTCAAAGCGGCTTAAGAAGGATCTCATTTGCCAGGATGGATCAAACAAGACAAGAAACTCCCCGGATCCCAAAGCATTGAGTCATGGCAATTAAAGTGGTGTTAAACTGCATTAATTTTGAAGTGCATACAAACCCAAGGCTCAGGCTGTGAACCAGAGAAAAAATGAATAAATCAGAAATATGGAAGTCCTCCGATTTTTGAGTCTGATGTGCGCAATGGCTGTGACGGTCTGGAAGAGGGCAAACATGAATCCAGGCAAGACAGAGGTACTCCTGGTCAGTCAAAAGGCCAAACAGGATATAGGGTTACAAACTGTGTTAGATGGGGTTATACTCCCTCTGAAGACACAGGTTCGCAGCTTGGGAGTTCTCCTGGATTTATCACTGAGCCTGGAATCCCAGGTTTCTGTGGTGGCCAGGGGATCTTTTGCACAATTAAAACTTGTGCACCAGTTGCGCCCGTACCTTGGGAAGTCAGATTTGGCCACAGTGGTTCATGCTCTCATTACATCTTAAATAGATTACAGCAACATGCTCTATGTGGTGCTGCCTTTGAAGACTATCCAGAAGCTCCAAGTAGTCCAATGGAGAGCAGCCAGATTCCTCAATGGAGCAGCGTACTGGCTTTGGCCTATAAAGCCCAAAACGGTTCCGGTCCAACTTACTTGTCTGAATGTATCTCCTTTTATGAGTCAACTAGAGCTTTAAGATCTGCTGGGGAGGCCCTGCTCTGTCTCCCATCCCCTTCGCAAGTGCAACTGGTGAGGATGAGAGACAGGACCTTCTCAGTGGTGGCCCCTCAGCTGTGGAACTCCCTTCCCAATGACATTAGACTGTCCCCATTCCTCCTGGTCTTCAGGAAAAAAGCTAAAGACCTGGCTTTGTACACAGCTATTTGGGGAGTAGAGTAATATGGAATTCGATCTCAATCTAGCAATCTGAATAATTACTATGGGAAACTAAGAAGTATGAAAATCATGACTTGGCACTTTGTATGTTTTTAATCTGCTTTATTGTATTTATATGTTTTAACTGTTTTTAATTGATGTAATACAGTATATTAATTGTTATGTGTACGACACGGCAATGAATTTTTGCTGTAGTTTGTAAGCTGCTCTGAGTCCCCTTCGGGGTGTGAAGGGAGGGGTATAAGTATAGTAAATAAAAATGAATAAAATTATGTCTGATAGCGATAGGTAGTATGCTCCAGTTTAAACATATTGGAGCTATAATATCCACTCTTTTGCTGTGGATATCACTGTGATAAAAGCTGTCTCTAGAAAGAACAAAGTTTCTCATCACACAATGTCTGCCTGAACAGATATACAAGGTGCTTCCATACTTTGAGATTTACTCTGCCCCATTGGCAGTGGCCACAATGATAAGAGGGGACCCCCAAAATGGGATCAGACAGATTCATGGGGAATATGTGTCGTGCTTTGTCCAAATGCATTGCCTTTGTCTCCTGTAGGAAAGGAGGGAAAAGCCACCTTGTCCTTCAGCTTGGACACTGACATCGGAAGTATCAGACTAGCTTTGGCTTTTTAAATTTTTTATTTAATGCCTTACCTTTTCTTTTCCATTGATCTCTATGTTGACATTTTTCAGAGCTAATTCTAACCCTGGCCTATAGCGTAAGCTGTATCTGTGAAATGCAATATGTCCTGCTGTAGGCCAGTTCTCATGGAAAAGCTTATTGTCCGAAGTCCAGGGAGCCTAGAAAGACATAACAAGTTCAAAATGGTAGATCCCAGCTCAACCAAAAGGAAGCAACAATGGCTCAGTGCAATGATAAATACAATGGGTGGGGAGTAGAATAGAATACTGTCAGAAGTGTTTCTCAAAATATTCCTCCAAGTGCCCAAGAGTGTCACCTTTTCCTGAGCAAATGCTCTAGTGCAGATGTAAAGCCAAGAAAAGGTCAGCCAAATGAGATGGGTGGACGAAAGGCCAATTGAGAATAGTCCTTGTTTCCTGGTGGAGTATGCAAGAATTCAGTGAGTATGTGTGTGTGTCAACTATAAAATAAAATGCATGAAGCTGATTGGTCGGGCAATGCTTGCGTAGCTGGCTGAGCCTGGGACTTTTGGTTACTGTTACATTTTTCAGGCTTGAGCTATGCAGGTACTCAGGAGACAAGAGAAGCAGAGAGAGACAGGGTTTGGAGTGTGCTCTCGCGTCATGAGTTGCTGAAGGAGTTTCTCCACATGGACAAAGAAAGACCATTTTAAATTTCTTATAAAAGGATATTACGTGAGTTGGTACAACTGATCATACTATATATATGTTGTTCTCAACTAAGAAGAGTAAACTAAGTGTTCTTTACAGTTCACCTGCGTGGCATATTTTCTTTCTCTGGCAAGGCAGCGTGTGGGCTGGTCAAATGTGAACTACATGTGGTTTATTTTACATTACGCCACATTTCTTTCCCTAGAAGGAGGAGCAATCTATTTGCTGGGCATCAGATGGGGCCGAATCAAGGAATTTTGCCATCTGGAGTGGGATAAGAAACAAGGCACCACCACCACCACTACCCATTCCAGGCATAATACCCAAGTCATTATTTAAATATATTTTTCCAATTATTTTAAAATTATTTCAACTTTACAACATTTTATTTACACTTAATTTCCATTAGTGCTCAGATGTATGAACATCTTGTTTTCATCTAACATTTCTTTTATCGTCACCTTCTCCTTTTATACATTCTTCTTTTCAATGGCATAATATTACTTTTTATATTACTTTTTAACACACCTCATCCCCAACTCCATCACCCTTTCCCCTGACCACATAATTTCCCTATATTTTTACCCTTAACTATGCACACAATTTTCTTAATTTCACCGCTTTCTATCCATTCTATATATGTCTTCTATTTATTTTTAATTTCCTGTTTTATCCTTCTGCTGCTTGTGTTATTGGATCTCACAGCAGCATCTGACACAGTCGACCACAATCTTTTGACCCACCGCCTTGCTGCTGTTGGAGTCAGGGGGACAGCTTTAAATTGGCTGTCCTCCTTTCTTCACAACCGTGGACAGCGAGTGGAGAGGGGAGGCCTGGTCTCTGAGAGGTCCCCTCTATCTTGTGGGGTTCCTCAGGGGGCCATTCTCTCCCCTCTGTTGTTTAACATCTATATGCGACCACTTGCTCAGCTGATTCAAGGGTTTGGGCTTGAGTGTTATCAGTACGCCGATGACACTCAGCTGGTGCTGAAGATGGAAGGCCGACCGGACTCTGTACCCGATTGTTTCCATCAGTGCCTCAAGGCCGTTACTGGATGGCTGCGTGCCAGCAGGTTGAGGGTGAATCCAGCAAAGACGGAGATCCTATGGCTGGGTCGACCGGGCAGTGGGGATATCCAGCTGCCTACCCTGGATGGCGAGGCACTACAGCCGTTATCATTGGTAAAGAGTCTGGGAGTCCTTTTGGACCCTCTGCTGACGATGGAGGCCCAGGTCTCCGCCGCTAGCAGAATCGCCTTTTTTCATCTGCGGCAGGCTAGACGGCTGGCCCCCTACCTGTCCAGGGACGACCTAGCTACGGTGATCCAGGCTACGGTCATCTCAAGACTGGACTACTGTAATGCCCTCTACATTGGCCTTCCTCTGTCGGTGATCCGGAAGCTCAAGTTGGTACAAAATGCAGCTGCTCGGCTTCTTGCGGGAATTCCGATGAGATGCCACATAACACCAATCTTACTACAGCTGCATTGGTTACCAATTGAGCACCGGATCACTTTCAAAGTGATGCTACTCACCTTTAAGGCCTTGCATGGTCTGGGGCCGATGTACCTGAGGGACCGCCTCACCCCCTACCAACCCCAGAGATCCCTCCGTTTTGAGGACCAAGATCTATTGGAAATTCCCAGTGTCAAGACCTTGCGTCTAACAGCAACCAGATGCAGAGCCTTTACAGCAGTGGCACCATCACTCTGGAATACTCTGCCACCTGAAGTCCGTGCCTTGCGGGACCTATCTGCTTTCCACAGGGCATGTAAGACATATCTGTTTCGACAGGCCTTTGATCTCTGATATTGTTGTTTTTAAATTGTTTTTAAATTGTTTTAAATTGTTTTTAAATTGTGTTAGATTTTAGCCTGTTCTTGTAAGCCACTCCGAGCCTCAGGGGAGTGGTGGCATATAAGTTTGAATTATAAATAAATAAATAAATAAATAAATAAAACAAAATATTTTCCCCTGGGGGCACAGCGGGTTAAACCACTGAGCTGCTGACCTTGCTGACCAGAAGGTCAGTAGTTCAAATTCAGGGAGCAAGGTGAGCTCCTGCTGTTAGCCCCAGCTTCTGCCACCATGAAAGTGTGAGTAGATCAATAGGTATTGCTTCCGGCGGGAAGGTAACGGCGCTCCATGCAGTCATGCTGGCCAAATGACCTTGGAGGTGTCTACGGACAACACTTGCTCTTCAGCTTAGAAATGAAATTGAGCACCACCCCACAGAGTCGGGCATGACTAGACGTAATGTCAAGGGGAAACCTTTACCTTTACTGTTATATTTTTCCAGTTTACATATGCTATGATTTCAGATTCGACCTGATCATACATATTGTTGTTCCAGTTTTTCTAGAATCCATTTTTCATCTTTCCATTCCCATGCTATCACTGTTTGTCCTGCTAGGATCATAATTTTGAACAGTTTTTGTTCTTTTGTATGAATCTTGGTATTCCCTAACACTCCCAATAACATCAGGGAGTATAGGGGTTGGGTTTAGCACAGAGGGTTAAACCATCAAGCTGTAGAAAATCTGCCGATTGAAAGGTTGGAAGCCTTGGGTCGGGGTGAGCTCCCACAGTCAGCCCCGGCTTCTGCTCATCTAGCAGATCGAAAGCAGCAATGTGAGTAGATAAATAGGTTCTACTTTAAGCAAGGAGGTAATAAAAAAATGAAGCGTCCATAAGGACATGGCGATGACTTGATCGAGAGGACATTTACAGACAACAAAGCTCCTCAGCACAGAAAATGGAGAGACAGCACCTCCCTGTGGCTGGAGCCGAGCACAGCCTCCAGATGCCAGAGATGGAAAAAGATGGGAAAGCCTTTACCTCTGTTTATGTACTGTGTGTCCTTGTTAATTGTATGTTTGCCATATATGTGTTCTGTAATCCACCCTGAGTCCGCTTGGGTAAATCGAGCGGGATATAAATAAATATAAATAAATAAAATTATTATTATTATTATTATTAGTTCTATATTCTCTTGGAGCAGTGTTTTAGATACCCAAGTCATGAAAGTCATGTTGATGTTCTAGACAGAAAGGGCTGATCTTTGATATCCTCATGGCAAATGCACACAGGTGAGAATCTCATTTAATTCTTATTGGGATCAATCTGCTGTGTTGCTTGCAGATTTCTTCTCAAATGGGACAAGAAGAACTTGAGATTATAAGAATCCAAATATGTAAGAAATAGGAAGAGTCATCCTCCAGCCAATGCTTACTTACCTCTTTGGGCGTCCCTGCGTAATCCCTGACTCTCTCTACAGAGACAACGTTGTTGTCGATCTCTGTCAAAGCGCGCACCATCCAGTTCAAAATGCCGGTTATCTGTCAAAAAGGAAAGAGAAAGCACAGAATCTAAATGGTCAGCTAACCATAGATCAGCTGCTCTCGTGGTGCAGGGACAATAATCCAGGTCTTAACTTCAATAACACCAAGGAACACATAATGGACTATAGGAAGAACAGGTCAGAAATCCAGCCTTTGGTCATAAATGGGAACTGAGTGGGGTGTGTGGTCACTTTCAAGTTCCTGGGTGTTGCTGTTAAGGAGGATCTGATCTGGGGCAGCATCCATATGGCAGTGTTGGTGAAGAGGGCCCAGCAGAGATTGTATTACCTGAGACTGATAGGTAGTTGGATGGATAGATTTGTAGACAGGTAGGTAGGTAGATAGATAGATAGGTCAATAGGTAGATAGATGGATAGAAAGAAAGGTAGGTAGATAGATAGATAGATAGATAGATAGATAGATAGATAGAAAGAAAGAAAGATAGAAAGATAGAAAGATAGAAAGATAGACAGATGGATTAGTGGATGGATAAATCGATAGATAGACTTCTAAGGAACCAAGAGCTGAATGGAAAACTGCTGGTGACTTTCTACCACTGTGCTATAGAGTTCCTAACCAATTGCATCTGTGCATAGTTTGGTAACTGCACAGTCGTAGACAGGAAGATGCTCCAAAGGGTCATCACTTCTGCACAGAGAAGCATTGGTTGTCCTCTTTCTCCCCTCTTTGAAAGGACTTTATAGGTCCCAGGGCCTTAAGAAGCTCAGAGCATTCTTGGGGATCCAGCTCACCCAGCATATTCTTTATTTGAATTATTGCCACCTGGCAGATGGTACAGGGTGATAAAGGCAAAGACAAACAGATTGAAAGACAGCTTTTATCCTAGAGCTGTAGCTATGTTGAATCCTTTGGTGGTGATGGTTGTTTATTATTATTATTATTATTATTATTATTATGGGGGGGGAGGTTACCTGCAGAGCATAGGAAATGGAAAACCCCACAAGTCCAGGACTGAGGTATGGTTTGCTTTTCACAGCAAGCAAAGCTGCAAACAGGACAATGCCATTCCCTAAGAACTCTATGTTTGTGGCAAGCCATCTGGAAAGACAAAGGAGAAAGGAAGGCCTGGCTGAGTATCTCATCATTCCCCACAATCACACTAATGAACACCGATTCAGGTTTTCTACATGTATGCAAGCATTTGCATTCAATTGTCTGAATAAGCCACCTCTCCCTGCTTACGTCGCTGTATGATACCTGTCAGCCACCACTGCAGGGTAAGAGGCCCGCTGGTTTTCATCCACATTGAAATCATTCTGCAAGACAAAACGCTGCTGGGCTTTGTAGGCACGGATACTGCTGCTCCCTTCAAAGGTCTCAGAAATGTTGGAATAAATGGGTGAACGGCTCGTGGCTTCCAGACGTTTCAACTGGCAGGAAGTGGTAATAAAGAAATTCTGGGGGGCAGGTGCAGAGAGGTGGAGAAAGCACCAAGAAAAAGAAGACACAGTTGAATTGGAGGATCCTTACTAATCTCAGAAGGATAAGCAGACAAACTTGATTCAAGCTCATGGGCACATTGGTCAGACCGGGATCTTGAATGAAGTGATGGAGGCATCTGAAGGGCTACTTGCTATGTAAGAACTTGCCAATGATCATGTCTCAGAAGCAAGGACTCTCAAGAAGGTGACAATGACAGTTTGAAATCCTAGCCTTATTCACTGATTGTTAAGAAGTGGCTCTTGGACTTCTGCATTGAATGGAGATACTCACAGACTCCAACCTTCAAAAGAGCCAATGGCTACAGAAGACGACCACTGATCCTTGAAGAATGCACCCAAGGAGACTCTCCTGTTCTGCCTCTGTATCAGCCTCTTCAAGTTGCTCGCCTTTTTTGGCACTGCTTTCCATGGTCCTGAAGCCAACTCCAAATATTGGCCACGTGCCTTTAGTGCTCTGCATGGCACTAGCCCCCCCCCCCTTCAATTATTCTCTTACTTGAGCTCCAAAATGCTTGTTATGAATCTCTGCTAATGCAAGATGTCCCAACTTTAAGCATCAAAAACCCTGATTTGGCTCCTGAGCAAACCCAAAAGTGTGTACAAAGAATAGCCTTTTACCTGTGGGTATCTTGTTAGTTGTATTTTAATAGTGTTGTGTTTTATCTCTCTGTTTTAACCATGTTGCACTCCATCTTGAGCAACAAGGAGAGGCGGTTGTTGTTGTTGTTAGTGGTATCACCCATTTTTCAAATGCCCTCCTTCCAAAAGTGTGCATATCCACTTATGCTGACCCATAGGATGATACTAAATAATTGTTTATTTCATTTGTTTAGTAGACTGCAATTCTAATAAAAATAGATGCTACTAAAGTGGGAGAATAGACTATATCACAAGCATGGACAAACTTGGGCCTTCCCTCCAGGTGTTTTGGACTCCAACTCCCACAATTCCTAACAGCCTACTGGCTGTTAGGAATTGTAGGAGTTGGAGTCCAAAACACCCAGAGGGCCCAAGTTTGCCCATGCCTGCTGTATCACCTCAAATAGGGGATTATTTTATGTCTCTTTACAGGGGAAAAATGAACAAAGCTGTCCAGTCTTACCTGGGACACCACGTATAGGACTGTCAGAGGAACTATAGCCACCACAGCTATTGGTGTGGCCACAATTATCACAATGTATATTTCCAGCAGTATAAAGAGGAAACCAAGCAGGGACTTCAGTTTGTCTGGGATGATGGAGTCAACGGCATCCATGTCTTTGGAGAAGCGGTTGAGCAAGTGACCGCTGGGTGTCTGTTCAAAGAACCCCATTGGTGACTGGACAACATCCCAAATCAGCTGTCGGAAAAGCCTGTGGGATGCCACTGTCCCAGCCAAGAACACGGTGGCCATCGAAGCAAACTTCCCCAGGGCTATAACACAAAATGAATTTTGAAACGTAGCAATGTTAATGCATGAGAACTGCGCAGACTGAATAAAGCTCATGTTGTTTGCATTCAACCTGGTGAGATTCCTGATTCTTGGTTTGAAACATTTGTGGTTAGCAAAGCTTGCCAGGCATCATTCGTTATCCATGGGTCCTTGAAAAACCTCAAATTTCTGGCATCACTTTTCACTTAGTAACCTGGTGTATCCCTCTTCCTGCCTAAACAAGGCCTGCCAAATATTATCTGGACAGCAAAACAGATAGCTGTATGCTGGGACAAAAATCCTCTCCACAAGAAAAGAGATTGAGAGAGATTGGAAGATATTGAGAGAGACAGGGAAAAAAGAATATAGAAATTGAAGTGAGTGAAGGGTGGCACAAACCTTGAGCAAATCCTAAGAAAAAGAAGACGCCGACACGGAGTTCAGTGTGTGGCTGGGTTCCATTGAAAACAGGGTCATTAGCCCACAAGCTGAGCCAGTAGCCACGGCAAAACGAGGCAACTTGTTGGCAAGTGAACAAAAGGACGATGTAGGCCCAGGTGAGAGACCCAGCCACTCTCAAGTAGCTCAGGTATATGGAAGTCTTAGCCTAGACCGAAGAAACAGGAGCCAAGAGGAAGTGAGATTAGATGGGCTAAGATAGGAACAGAAGAAGTGGAGTCAACCTATTTATCTCTCTAGTCCTGTTTTGTTTACTTTGGTTTACAAAATCTGCTCAAGCATCTCTGACAAAGGATGCCTTCCCCATTTTCTGTTCATATAAAATGTAAATAAACAATACTAGGGATTAAATCTGAGACATTTTCCTGCAAAGCATGCCCTACTATGCTACTTGGAAAAGTTTTTTGTTTTAAATAATTTTTTGAATATTTACTTAATTATACTGTAAAATATTTTTGTATTATTAGTATTATTATTACTATTATTATGCATATTATTATTATTATGTTTATTTGTACCCCACTTTTTCTCTCCACAAGGAGACTCAAAGCAGCACTATAAAAATATTTATTATTATTATGTTTATTATGTTTATTGTTATGTTTAATTATACCCAGCTTTTTCTCTCCACAAAGAGACTCAAAGCTGCATTATAAAAATATTTATTATTATGTTTATTATGATTATGATGATATTTATTTATACCCTGCTTTTTTTCTCCAGAAGGAGACTCAAAGCAGCTTACATTAAAAACACTTCAATATAGTTAAAAATCTACAAATATAAAAACATTAAAACAGAATTAAATTCAGTTAAACTCCCAGTGATTATACTGACTGAAGGACTATGCGAATTGTATTTCAAAGAGTAACTCTGCACCCATCTCTGACCCTCCTATGTTTTCATCTGTATGGCAGAACATTAGACTGGGTGTCCCTTACAGTCTCTTTCAACTCTCTAATTCTATGTCTCTCAGTATAGTCTTGACCAAACAACACACACTGGAAGGTACTTTATTTCACATCAGAGTCTTCCTCCATCTCTGGACAATATAATTTGCAACATGGATGGGGGGAAAATGCTAGTCATTCCCACGTACTTGGCTAGTGTTCCAATTTGCACATAGCTGGGATAATAAGGAACCCAGTATCAATGGATTGATCCATACTCAGCGCAACTCTTTTCTCCAGATGTTGTTGGACTTCAAATCCCATAACAATTGGCCACTGAAAACCAATAGAAAATGGTGTCCAAAAGGTTTGGGGGACAAAAGGTTTCCAACCCATGATCTATGCTAGCCTTCTTTTATCTGGTAGCTTTGAAATAGATTCCAGATGGAACTTATGTCCGCTGCCATCTAAAATGTCTCTGAACACCTTCAGAAAGACTGTTTGAGGTTTGTGATGGATAAATGGTAGGATGTTTCATAATGTCTTAAAGTTACCCTTCCAGTTATCTGTCCTTTGTCTTCTTCCACCAATTCTTCTGTTTCCAAATCTGAGGCTTTGTAAACACTTCTCTTCACTGACCTTGATAGAATTAAAAGAAATATATATTATAGCATTTCTAAAGAAAACATCACTCACAGTTATATCCTGCTGCCTAGTATGCTATAGCAGGGGTTTTCAAACTGTGCTCTGCTGAGCCCTTGGAGCTCTACAAGTGATAGTGAGGGGCTCTGTTGTATCAACCTGCTTCCCACCTCCCCCTCTTTCCTCCTCCTGAGAAATGCATGGAAATGAAAGTTTTGAACTGCCAAAAACAACAGGACCATTCAGGGGGTGCTTTGGTTGTGTTGTTCCTACATGGCAGAAGGAGATTGGACTGGATGTCCTTTGGGGTCTCTGCTATTATTATTATTATTATTATTATTATTATTATTATTATTACTACTACTACTACTACTACTACTACTACAAAGACTGGATGGTTATCTGTTGGAGGTGCTTTGGTTGTGCTTTTCCTGTGTGAGAGAAGAGGGTTGGACTGGATGTCCCCTGGAGTTTCTGCTATTATTATTGTTGTTATTATTACTACAAAGCAGTGGTTCCCAACCTGTGGTCTGTAGATCACCAGTGGTCTGCAAGAACAAAAATATGGTCCACAGCTTCACTATTACTACACCGTTGCCTTGAAACCACATGGCAACTAAAGCAACTGGCTTTGCAAAGCCCTCTTATAGTGCTGAGACAACAGGGATGTCGGGAGGGGAGAGGCTGACTACCCACAAAAGATTACTACTACCACATCAGCTCTAGATTATTAAATATGGTTTTCTGTGGGCAAGCAGATGGTGACTACTGGGTGGCATATGTTCTGTATCAGAAACTAGAGCTGATGTGGTCTATGCAATGCAATTTTCTGAATCAGCATACAGAACAGATGCCATGGTCAGTGACAGGCAAGGTATGGCAGGCGTTGTGAAAAAAGTGTGAAAGGAGTGGAAATAAAATAAATAAGGTAAAATAAAATAAAATAAAATAAATAAAGAGGAAAGAGGCTCCTGGACCAGGTGAATATTGCACTATATAGCACTGAATGAGACATGCAGAATGATCACAGGATGTCTCAAACCTAACTTGTTGATAGACTCTATAAGCTAGCTGGCATTGCCCCCCTTGATGTGCGATGAGAAGTTGTTGCCAATTGTGAGAGAAATAAGACTGAACATTGTGAAAGCCATCCACTATATCAGCCTCCTCCCAGTAAACTTAAATCAAGGAAAAGTTTCATGAGAACACCACTCCTCTTAATGTTCCTCCAGAAACAGGAAGAGTATCCCTCTGGGCAGCTAAACCAGGCAATTCCAACTGGATAGCCCCATGAGGGTCTTCCTCCAGGGGCAAACCAAGAATGTCCCTGAATAGACTCAGAAGCAGAGTGGGCAGATCAAAAGACAAGCTGGCAAAATGACACAGCCTAGAAGAATCCTCCACCTTGAGCAATTGTGGAACAGAACAAATAACTCAGCATCTGTATGCTTGTCCACAATGCCCTGCCTCATGCACAGAGGAAGAATTATTTAAAGCTACAGACAATGTGGTCACCTTTGCCTTTTTTTTGGTCTAAAACTATCAAGCAGCTTGTGATCCCTTTATTTTATCAGTTTTAGATAAACTATTTCATGTAATGTTTTTGACAGGAAATAAATAACCATACTAGTTTATGGCCCATGTGGCTCAAGCATCCCAATCTTCCATTAAAGGAAATGCTTGGGAACGGGCAGAGAATGGCTAGGGGTGGCTTCAGTTTCCCTCCTTCAAGTAGGGCTCACTTAAGCACCTATGAGCACAACCCTGATATGTCAATGCCACCAAAGTAAAAAGAAAAAAAATAGATAACTGGGAATGTATCTAAGTGGAATTTTGAAGAGTTTGGGACAGTGCCAAATAAGTGGAGCTGCTAGTACTTACCTGTCATCTTTTCCTGGGAAAGTTATATCTCTTTTGGGGAACCTCTCAGCACTTCCTGAAGCTGTGGAATCAGTTAGTGTTGACATCTCTGAAGATAAATGAAAAGACAGTAGTGAAGCTTGACTTCTGAGAAAAAACACATCACCCTTATGGTTGCCTGTAACTGTAACAGCATATACATGTAACTATGTTGTCCTAACACTGAAAGCATTGCAAGCCACATAAAATGCCACAGCAGGCTGGATTTGCCCCACGGCCAATGCATTTGACACATGTGCTTTAGAAGTTTGATACAGCAAGCTGGAGGATTTGGGGAGTTTTGTTCAACATTTAAACTTTTACAAGCTCTGATCTGATCATGGAAGGCCAACAGTGGAGTCTGCCATACCTTGCAAATCCTGGTCCTTTTCTCCTTCTGCGCCGTGCAATCTCAAGAAGTCTGCAAAAGCTCCCTGTCTTGCCACAAGTTCCTGCCAAGAACCTGTTTCAGAGATCTCGCCATCCATTACCACGATGATATGATCCATTCTGGGCAAAAGATGGACTGCATTTGTCACCAGAAGACGGGTCTGGAAAGAAAGGGGAACCAGTGTTATCATTGACTAGGCTGCATCATGGTGCCTTTCTTCCACATGTTGTTAACTCTTCTCCCCAGCAGTCTCTGACAACATAGTTAGTGATAAAGAATGATGGGAGAGTATTAGTTCATTAACATCTGGAGATGTTCCAGAAGCATTCTCTCCTGATGTTTCGCCTGCATATATGGCAGGCATCCTGACCTCCCAAGCTCTGAGGATGCCTACCAGAGATGCAGGCGAAATGTCAGGAGAGAATGTTTTTAGAACATGACCATACAGCCCAGGAAATACACAACAACCCAGTGATTCTGGCCATGGAAGCCTTTGACAATACATTGAACATCTGGAGAATTTTTCTGTTTCTGGACAGCACATTTTGTTGTCATTTCCTATCAGCGATGAGAAGAGTGAAATAAACCTGAACAGCATTAACATGTCCACCTTCATATACATTTCACCATTTTATTCCATTCTGAAAATATCTGCAGTATACAGTCAGGTATCAAGAGTTTTTGGGCAGGTATGCAACCAGTCTGATGAGAGGTAATTAACAGTGTGTCTTGAACAGCAAAAATGTCAGTTCATTGCAACAAACCAGTTCTGTTTCCACCACCAGGAACCATAAAGCTAGTGGGTTTGGATTATCCAGGAAGACACAAAAAACACATTTCATAAAATAGTAATTGTTCTCCATAACATACCGTGATGGGGCAATTTATTTTCCCCATCTGTCATACTGGGATTTCATTTAACCTCAGCAAGAATATGGAAGACTGAAGGCTCTTATTGAGATTAAGTAGTTCCAAATACAGACCAGGGTTATCAAGTGCCTTCTAAAGTATTTCTGGTGTGCATATCCCATCATCCTTGGTCAATGGTCATGGTGCTTGGGCTTATGAGAGATGCACCTGGAAGGCACTAGATTATATATATCTACTCCTGGCATAGATTATATTATTTTTGTACATACTGCACCCAACGGTAAGGATTTTAAGATTCTTTCCAAGTGATAAAACAAATGAGTATCTTGGAAGAGACGGAGGAAGATGAGCTTTGAATACCTTGTTTTTCAATAAACCAGTTGGTCCAATGACTTCCTGAAAGATGTGCTGGCCAACCTGAGCATCCACAGCAGAAAGGGGGTCATCCAGAAGGTAAACCTCCGACTTCTTGTAAACAGCACGGGCCAAACTCACCCTCTGTTTCTGTCCCCCGGAAAGATTTATGCCCTGTTTTGGAAGAGAAAATGCTGTATTAGTATCATTGTCATAATCATTTGCACACAGCCGATGATGATGATGATGATGATGATGATGATGATGATGATGATGACAATGACGATGATGATGCAACTGGAAAAGTTTGCACGATACGAGGATTTAAAGATTGAACTGCAAAGACTTTGGTACAAGCCAGTAAAGTTGGTACCAATGGTAATCAGCACACTGGGCGCAGGGCCTAAAAGCCTTGGCCTGCACTTAAAAACAATCGGCACTGACAAAATTACCACCGGTCAGCTGCCAAAGGCCACCCTACTAGAATCTGTACACATTATTTGCCAATACATCACACAGTCCTAGGCACTTGGGAAGTGTCCGACATGTGATCAAATACAAAAGCCAGCATAGCGATCTAGTTTGCTGTGACTTTGTTTGCTGTGTACTAATATTGTTGTGTATCACATAATAATAATAATAATAATAATAGTAATAGTAATAGTAATAGTAATAATAATAATAATAATAATAATAATGCTTTATTTATATTCCTCCCAACTTATATATATATTTCTTATATACTATACTTATTCCAATAAAGCCGAGTTAGTGTCTGAAAGCAGCGTCCTGGGTGTTTGTATAGCCATTGCATAATGAGATGGGATTGAATGTTTTTATAGACTAGGCACTGAAGAAGCACATGTTCCGTTGTTTCTATGTACCCTGAGTCACAGGGGCACCGTCTCTTGGAGTCTGGAGTCTTCTGGTAATGGAAGGGGAGAGAGGGATACTCTAAGGCAGGGGTCCTCAAACTGTTTAAACAGAGGGCCAGGTCACAGTCCCTTAAACTGTTAGAGGGCCGGATTACAATTTGAAAAAAACACGAATGAATACCTATGCACACTGCACATATCTTATTTGTAGTGCAAAAAATACACTTTAAAAATACAATCATTAAAATGAAGAACAATTTTAACAAATATAAACTTATTCGTATTTCAATGGGAAGTGTGGACCTGCTTTTGGCTGATGAGATAGGATTGTTGTTGTTGTTCTTGTTGTTGTTGTAGTTGTATGCTTTCAAGTCATTTCAGATTTAGGTTAACCCTAAGCGAGGACTGGGTAAATGACCTTGGACGGCCGTATCTGGCCCTTGGGCCTTAGTTTGAAGACCTGAATTCTCAGGAAGACAGTCTCCAGGCGTAGGGAGGGCATTGGAGATACATCTTGGTACTTGGAAGGCTGTACAATTTGGATTGTAAACTCTCCAATGGGGTGAAGTCAGAGAAGGGGCCTAACTGGGCACCATAGAAGAGTTGTGCAACTGGTTTGGCATCAACTATTTCGAGTGCCATGGGTATGTAGTGTCCCCCTCTTGACCTAAGATAGTTTAGTATAGCAGTTGAGCTCATTTGTGCAATGTCGGCCACATGGACTCCATGGGCTTTTCTACTGCTGGAGAAATGGAGAACTACCCTCAGATATTTGAAGCATGGGACCTGCTCCATTTTGTTTCCATCTATATTCCAGAGATAAAGCTTGGGTCTTTTGGCAAATACCATGATTTTAGTTTACAGGTAGTTGAGTTGTAACTGGTTCACATTTATCAAACACGAGTTCAAAACTAGCTCCTAGAAAGAAAACAGCCTCATACAAAGAAAAAACCAAAATACAGAAATGCATGTTAGCTAGGATAATTTCAGGCAGGCACTTCCAAAAACTACAGACTCCCTCCCCACAAACAATGAGTTTATATATAAAAAAGAACTATTACTAGAAAGCCCATCATGAGGTAATAATAACCTTCTCTCCTATTTCCGCCTGACTTCCATTAGGGAAGCTGTCCAGGTCCGGCTGCAGTGCACAAGCGTCTACCACCCGGTTGAACCAGTTCCTGTCCACTTTTTGTCCAAACGTGATGTTGTCTTCGATCGAAGCATTTTGGATCCAAGATTCCTGGGGAACAAATGCTACTGTGCCCTGCAAAATAGAAGTTGGAGATATGTACAGAAAGCAACACAGACACGATACATGTACTGGGCTGCATACGGGTTTCTACAGCATGCTAGATTCACATTAAATTACATTAAAAATAGAAATTAAATATGCCCAATATGAGAAACATTTTACAACAAGAGGCATCCCCTTGAATTTCTGCACAATGATATAACATCAACAGGGCATAAATTCTGCGGAGTTTCAAAAAGATTCATTCATCTAGTGATTTTTTGGAAATTTACTTTAAAAATTCAATTAATTTTTTTAAAAACCTATAAGAGGTATCCCCTTGAACTGAGACAACATAAGTTGGGCAGCAATTCTGCAAATTTTCAGAAAGATTTGTTCATGTACTGATTTTTAGGAAATTTATTTTGAAAATTCAATTTAAAATATTATTTAAAAAAACTACAAGGGGTATCCCCTTGAATTTCTGCACAATGAGTCAAAATAAGCAGGACATAAATTCTGCAAAGTTTTAGAAATATTTGTTCATCTACTGATTTTTAGGAAATTTATTTTGAAAATTCAATTAAATTTAAAAAAAAAAAACTACAAGAGGCATCCCCTTGAATTGTGGCACTGTAAGACAACATGAACAGCAAGCCTGCCAAGTTTCAGAATAATGTCAATCCACTGATTTTTAAGAATTTTTTCAATTTAAGCACATGTGATTAACCTAACCCAACCTTCCAAAATGTAGCTATTTCAGCACCCTGCAATACTATCCTATCTTATAATGAAATCCCTACAATAAAGCTTAGTCAGTGTAGACTCATATAATGCAGTTTTAATGGAACTGAATTGCATTTATGGGCCCACACTCACCATATAACGCAGTTCAAACAATGTAGTTCCAACATTAGTTTATTTCGCCAAACCATTGCAATGTTTGCATCAAGATATTTCACCAATGCATACATTCCAATAATTTTCACATTTGAAACTGCAAGCAAACTAGAATCCCCTTGAACTTTGCTGAACATCACAAGATTTACCTTCAATGCTAGAAACCCTTCCGTTTTCTGTAGTTCACCAAGTAATGCTGAGAGTAGTGACGATTTCCCAGCTCCAACCTGGCCAATCACAGCACACAGGCTGCCTTGGGCAATGCTTAGATTGATCCTAGAAAAAAATAGTAATATAGGAGAACACCTACATCATCCAATAAAATCTCAGCAATAATAATCCAGAAATCCAAGAAAAGAGTTAACAACAACAACAAGAAAACAAGTAAAGCTATGTTTATGAGGTTTTACCTTTTAAGGCATGGAGGGCTTTCTCTGCTCCATGTGAAAGTTCCATTCCTTATAGTGATACAGTCTTGGGCTAAAAGACAAAAAGAATATGGAGAGGCACCCATAATCCATATTTTGGTGTTGTCACTATTATTATTATCATTATCATTATTATTATTATTATTATTATTATCATCCCACTTTATTATCCCACTTTTTCACTCTAGAAGTCGACACTGGCTTTGACACTGTGCTATAGCTGTGATCATTTGAGTATGACTAGGGCCCCTTCTACACTGACATATGAAATCCAGATTATCTGCTTTGAACTGAATTATATGGCAGTTTAGACTCATATAATCCGGTTCAAAGCAGATAATGTGGATTGTCTGATTTGATAAATCTGGATTATATGGAAGTTTAGAAGGGGACTGAGTCTACACTGTCATATAATCCAGTTCAAAGCAGATTAATGTGGATTATCTACTTTGATCCTGGAAGTCGTGTCTGGTGTGAGAAAATCAGACATCTACAAAGACATTGCCTAGGGGACGTCCAGATGCCAGAGGGACACAGAGTTCCATCTATGCTGATGATCGTGCCATTACCGCTCGAGCAGGGAGCTTTGAAATAGTTGAACAGAAGCTCTCCGAAGTTCTAGGTGCTCTTACTGCCTACTACAGGGGAAACCAGCTGATCCCTAATCCAGCTAAAATGCAGATGTGTGCTTTTCATCTTAAGAACAGACAAGCATCTCAAGTTCTGAAGATCACCTAGGAAAGAATTCCACTGGATTTTTGCAGCACACCAAAATACCTGGGAGTCACTCTGGACTGTGCCCTGACTTACAAGAAGCACTGCTTGACTATCAAGCAAAAAATGGGTGATAGAAATAGCATCATACGAAAGCTGACTGGCACAACCTGGGGATCACAACCAGACACAGTGAAGACATCTGCCCTTGTGCTTTGCTACTCTGCTGCTGAATACACATGTCAAGTGTGGAATACATCTCACCACGCTGGCTCTTAATGAGACATGCTGCATTATCACAGGATGCCTATGCCCTACACCACTGGAGAAATTATACTGTTTAGCTGATATCCTTCGAGAAGCAGCAGCCAGTAATGAAAGAACCAAGAAAATGGACATCTCCGGTCCATCCTCTGTTTGGATATCAGCCAGCATATCAACAAGACATAACTTTCTAAGATCTACAGAGATACTTACAGGAACATCTAAGCAAGCGAGAGTCCAAAAGTGGGAGGCTAAAACCCAGAACCTCAATCAGTGGCTGATACCAGATGAGAAACTCCCTCCTGAGCACACAGAAGACTGGCTAACTTGGAAGGCGCTGAACAGACTGCACTCTGGCACCACAAGATGCAAAGCCAACCTTAAGAAATGGGGCTACAAAGTGGAGTCCACAACATGCAAGTGTGGAGAAGAGCAAACCGCAGACCACCTACAACAATGCAACCTTCTGCCACATGAACAATGGAGGACCTTTTCAAAGTGACACCAGAGACACTCCAAGTGGCCAGCTTCTGGTCAATAGACATTTAGTATAATGCCAAGTTTTTTGCTTGTGGTTGTTTTTATACATTATAACTGTGTTCTCAATTTGCTTTTGAAATGATAAATAAATCTGCTTTGATAATCTGTTTTATATAGCAGTGTAGAAGGGGCCTAAGTAAACCCAAGTAAGTATCCCATTCAGACTTTCAACGGATTGAATAAAGTTCTTCAGCTAGCTAACTTTAGAGAGTTGTGAAGCTAAAAATAGAGAGGACAATATATAGAATAATTTAGAGAAAAAAGTAGGATATCAGTGTAACAAATAGGAAATCCTATTGTGTGAGTCCTTTCTCTCTCACAATCTGTCATTTTGGGGATAAAGGGGGAGAATTCCACCTACAGAAAGAAACTCCATCATACTCACTGCCATCTAAAGAATCGGATTCTGCATTAGTTTGATCCAGATCTTCAAGAGAAAGAAAAGCAGCTAAACGGTTTAAGGAAACTTTGGCCTGGAACAAAACACACACACGTCGCACTCCTGTTACAGTTGTGCAACCCAGCCTTGTGTAAAATCAATCCGTAACTCACCTGCACCACCGAGTTAATGGAAAATGGAAGAAAAGAATGAGCTGTGTTGAGTATGTTAACCAAAGCCAGAGAGACAAAGGCTTTCTGGGCACTGAAAATGTTTCTCTCATTTGCTAGCGTGTAGACTGCAAACATGATGAATGAAATCTGTATGGGGGGAATGGAAAGGCAGGTAGTATGTTTTATTGATTAGCCCATTGGCCGTATCAAAAACATTTGACAAACGCATGCATATACACATACAGTATCACATAAGTTAAAATAAACACGCGGTTAACAAGGTCCCAATCCAAATCAAATATCTGCATCACCTCTACAGGAAAGGCAGGTGAAAAGGAGGAAATAACACAATGTAACATGATTTTTGTTCCTGGGTTATAAATGTCATTTCCTAATTAATTCTATCCATTGTAGATCAGCCACCAGAGGCTGATAGTTTAGCTGATGATCCAAAGAGGATTGTGAACTTTCCTGTGGCACAAAATGATGGGCTTTCAAGTCTAGGAAATTCAAGTCTGGGAAATGATGGTTCTCTCTGTGAGAAAACCGGCTCAGAAAGTGCAGGGCCTCAAGGACATCTGGGAGAGTTAGAAGTAGCAACAGTAGCAAGTAGGAATTGAGTGAAGAGCTGAGTGATAAGGAGGATTCCCATGGTAACCCACCTGTAGCTACAGAGATCAACAAAGGTCTCTGTTTACAAATCAGAGCTAAAAATAAATTGTGTCATTCAGAGGGATTATGTAGGAAAGTTGTGAAGGAAATTCATGGGAAACTGAGTGATTTCATGGGTGTCTATTAAACAAGTTGTTTACCTTAAGTTCAGTTCAGGCAACGCTACATTAGTGTAAGAAGCTAATCCTGAGTTCTCTTGTTCGTTGTTCAAGTCAAGCTCTGATTTTGGATTTTATATATATCCTGGAAGTTTTCTATGTTCTTGTTCATGTACTGCTGTTCAAGTTTTACTAGTTATGCCTTCTTGATAGTGGACTTATGCTGTATCTGTGATTTCTGGCTGTTCCTAGATTTGTCAGCTCTGGAACTTTATAAGACATTTGGATTATTTTTTGGTTATCACCTGTTGCTAAACCTTTTTGGATTATACATCTTCTTTCTTATTCCTGATTTTTATATGTTTTTACAATTAACTGTTGACTTATATTCCTGGACTCTTGTGTGGTGTGCTGGTCATAGGTGTTTCCAGGCCTAGAGTGCAACACTATCATAAAATCATGGAAAAAGGTTTTTCATGGAAACTGCAAAAGCCTAATCTTCACGAGATGGACATTATCCTGGAACACATTTGGCTATAGTTTTTCAATGAATAGCTCATTGAACTCAACTCAACATAGTTTATGCCACAAAAAAAGTTGTTAGAGTAGAACAACTACTTTCAAAGTAAGAACTGCACAACTGAACGGGAAATAACACTTTTAAACCAGGAACAGAATGTTTTTCAAATGTTATATAGTGTAATATAATAAATGCATCTTTTGTTTGGTTGGATAAAAGCGCTCACCAGAAATGTTGATGACTGGAAAGAAATGAGAGATGCTGAGAAGAGGAACTGGGACTTCCGGAGTGCTTGCAGCTCTTGAGTTCGGACACTCATCACTCTGCCCACAAACGTGTCTTCCCAGCCATGGAACTTCAGGGTTTTGATATTGCTGAGAATGGCGCTGGTAAGTTTGGCACGGCTGTCCTTATATGTCATCTGAACTTCCTTTTCTCCCCAGTTTTTAAAATTATTGGTTAGATGTAAGTAATTTGTAGCATTATCACAATTACATATACGCAACAATATATTATTATTATTATTATTATTATTATTTACCTCATATAACACATTATGTTGATTACATTTTATCTTTTACTGTTCTATCCATCTATTACTTATACCTATCCATTTTTTCCTCCCCACTCCCTCTGGGACAGTTATAACTCTGTCCTCATATCGTGTAAGCTTTTATTATTTACAATGTATAATATATAAATTTATTATTTATAATAACTGATGAAGCTTAGTGAAATGTAAGGTATACTTATCTAAATAAATTAATGGTCTGATCTGGCATAAGACAGTTTTCTATTTTCCTAGGTTAATCAAAAGTTTGACGAGCTATTAAAAAATTAATAGGCGATCATTGGTTGGTAAAAGAGCATACCTGGAACTGAGTCCTCTTCTTTGCAATAAAAAAATTAAGTGGCAAGAGGAATGAAAAAACAACAACTGCCGTCAAAGCAGATGGTCCCAGGAGCTAATGGAATGCAGTAAAACAAAACAAAAGCATCATGTAAGTTAAAAATAGGTAATGAGAATATGCTTGTGTTCTAAATACTGTAATCAGGAGGTCTAAAAAGTGCAAATAGATTCCTCTACACCAGTAGTTCCCAACCTTTTTTGACCAGGGACCACTCTCCAACATTAGTACCAAAAGGGTTATGAATCAGTTTTTGGTCAACTTTAGATTTGGTTTGGTTATTTAATGTGCTGATTCAGAAAATTGCATTGGATAGAGCACATCAGCTCTACTTTCTGATGCAGAACATATGCCATCCAGTAGTTGCCATCTGCTTGCCCACAGAAAAACTTATTTAATAAGCCTTGGCACTATAAGAGGATTTCGCGAGACCAGTCACTCTCGTTGCAACGGTGTAGTAATAGTGAGAGTGCGGACCATATTTTGGTTGTTGCAGACCACTGCTGGTCCACAGACCACAGGCTGGGAACCACTGCTCTACAAAGTAAGAACAATATTACCTGCCAAAGAAAGACAAAGCAGATGACAATTCGAATGGGAGCAAGCCAAGTCCCATTAAAATAGATAATGAGGTCCATTAGTTTTTGTACATCAACAGACACCAAGTTCACAATTTCTCCCACCATTGCTTCTTTCTTGGCTGCGTTCGACATAACTAAGAGCTATAGGAGAGGAAACAAGATCAAACAGGTCATATATTTCCTGTTATTTGGATAACAGAATTAATCACGAAGACTGAATGTACAAACTTTTCTGGTTTTACTGTTGAAAAAGTATCAACATCAATAATCACCCCTTTGTTTTGTTTATCTCTGTCCTGTGTATTTAAATTCTTCTATATATATAAAAATGCTCATGTCGTAATGAGTGGCTTAAAAGCAAAACAACTGCTGGGCCAATATCCACCAAATTTGGCAACAAAACTCCTCACCATACAAGGTGTGACCATCAATAATAAAAAATAAAATAAAACTGAAAACAACTTAGAAATCCTTAATAAAAGGAGAAGCCATTACAGCGCATGCGTGCAGCTGTGGGGGGAGCGCACGTGCATGTGAGAGAGCTCCTCCATCATCTCGCAGCAGAAATTGTGGCGGCAACGGCTGCTGGGCCTCCCGGAGCCAGCCACAGCTCCACCAAAATTTAAAATCTGAAACACCAGCCTGACCGACGGAGACAGAGGGGCCTCTTCGAGCGAGGGAGCAGAAGCAGGAGGCGCCTTCTCCACTCCGTCGCCGTGCTGCTGGTGCTGAGCCTGCAGTGCTCTGATCCTTCCTTCCCTGATCTTCTGTTTTTCCTTTCTTCTGTTGTTCTTATTCTTATTATTAACCTGAAGCTGGCTATCTCTCAGGAGTGGTTAGATTGTGCTTCTCCCATTTCCCAAAAGGGGCTGGTCTGGATGGCCCCTTCAGGTCTCTTCTATACTAGGATTCTTCTATTATTATTATTATTATTATTATTATTATTATTATTATTAATAGTAGTAGTAGTAGTAGTAGTATTATACTGAGGCTGAATGGCCATCTCTCAGGAGTGGTTTGATTGTGCTTTTCCCTTATGCCAGAAGGGGTTGGACTAGATGGCCCTTGGAGGTCTCTTCCATAAAAATGCTCTGTGCATAATGACTGCCTTAAAAACAAAGAACCAATGAACGAAATCACACCAAATTTGGCAAAAAAATGTCTCACAACACAAGGAGTGACCATCACTCAAAAAATTATGATTTTGTCATTTGGGAGTTGTAACTGCTGGGATTTATAGGTCACCTATATTCAAAGTGCATTCTGGACTCCACCAACGATAGAACTGAACCACACTTGGCATACAGGAATCCCCTGACCAACAGAAAATATTGGAAGGATTTGGTGGGCCATTGACCTTCAGTTTTGGAGTTGTAGTTCACCTACATCCAGAGACCACTACAGACTCAAACAATGATGGATCTGGACCACACTTGGCACAAGCACTCAATACACCCAAATATGAACACAGATGGAGTTTGGGGGAAATAGATCTTGACATTTAGGAGTTTTAGTTACTGGGATTTATGGTTCACCTGCAATCAAAGAGCATTCTGAACCCCACGAACGACAGAATCAGAGCAAACTTCCCACACAGAACCCCCATGACCAACAGAAAATACTTGAGGCCATCCAATCCAGCTCCCTTCATCAGGGCAAGAAAATGTAATCAAAGTCCTCCTCACAAGGACCCATCCAGCCATAGACATAGACATAGACAGATAGATAGATAGATAGATAGATAGATAGATAGATAGATAGATATGATTCACACACAGAGATATAGTATCATAGATTTGAAAGGGACCCTTAAAGAAGGACAACTATATGTTCCGTGTTCCAGGGTGGGCAAACCAGGCACTCTCCACATCAACACTGACAAAGAAACAGCAAGAAATACTGTTTACCCACAAGCAGAAATAAATTACATATATTAGAAACCAACACTTTCTCATTACTTTATTTGCCAGATCAACAGACTGGGCCACAGCAACACGTGGCAGGGGACAGCTAGTTATTATATGTATGTCTGTATAAAATATCAAGCAAGGTGACCTCCTCATGAACTATGACCAGCATCTCAGGACTCGGGTATTGCAGAACTTCCTGGGTCTTCATCCTTAAACAACGGACTTTGCAGAAATTCTTAAGCATGGACAATAGACAAATGGCCCCTTTCCTTGGGCTTCGGGGGGTCTTTTGACTAGGCCACCTGAGTATTGGGGACCCATGGACATGGTAATCATTTGGCACAAAGGACATTTCCCCCAGTGGAAGGAAATGTTGCCGTTTCTTTCAACAAAGCCATTCCCCTTTCCAGAAGAATAAATCCAAAGATCCTATCAAGGAAACCAGTATCACTGAACTTTTGACAATGGGCTGGCTCTTCGGGGTCTGATAAAAATGTTATTTCAGACCTCTGAAACAATAGTCAGGTCGGGGCTTGAGGGCTTACAGCAATCATCTTTGATCGTTTGGCATTTTGGGTCTGCAATGTGCCTGTGCCGTCACACCCAGACACTATAAAGTTAAAACTAAGATGTGCTTCTCTTTATCCGGGTGAACTGCGGGTGCCTTACTAAGAAGCTTAGGATTCTCAGCAACTGAGGCCACTCCAGATTTGAACATCAAACAGAACATTTATTTCTCAAAGTCCTTGACCTAGCACAGCTAGTTGAAGTTACAAACACAAGTTACAAACACAAACAGTCAACTTGTGAAATTATATAGATGTTCCTTCCTTCCTTTTTTCTTCAGCTACTGAGTTAACTTCCCCCAACGGTAGAAAAATCCTGAGATCCTTTACCCTAGCCCTGAGCTGCTATTTCCCTATCTAAGCTCAAGGTTAGTTTCGGGATGAAGTAATAGAGCCTCTCCCAATGGCAGAGAAATCCTGAGATATTCTCTGCCCTAGTGCTGAGCTGCTATCTTTAGAGAGCAGGTCTTCCCCTATCTGAGCTCAGCACCAGTTTCAAAGGCAAGAGGGTAAGTACTCATGATGGCCTGTCCGAGCTGCCTAGCTTGACCACAAGCACATCTGAGGCTTTTTCTAAACTGAAGAAGGCAGGAGAGCTTCTCCAAAATGGAGATCTCATCCCCAGGAAAAAGGGCGGTCTCTGGACCAAAGAGATACTTTTATAAGCCAATAACAACAAAAGGCTTTGCAGGCTGGCTTTAAGCCCCTGTTAATTGTTAACTTTCAGAGTGCTGCTGAGACTGTAGCAACCCTGAGGAAAATGCAAAAGGATGCTATTTCATGCAACTAATGGGCAATGCAAACCAAGCTCCTGGAAGACAGAACAGGGCCATTTATAATCCTGTCATCAAGCCACTTTTTCATTGATTTCTCTGCTGCCCACCTCCTTTCACCTCATTGGCTGAGCGGCCAAAGCAGGGCTTGGGCTCTCATTGGATGAGCCACATCAGCCCCTGGCCACTCCTCCCGGCGCACTGACATCACAGCCAATCATAATGAAGCCGGCTCAGAGGGGTGGGGGTGGGAAATTTGAATTTTAAAACTGTATATAGTCCACAATTCCCTGCTCAGGAGTATATCAGCTCCTTTGCAGATTACTGCAGTCATCATCCTTTCCAGCTGGAATAGAAAATAAACCTCGATGGCCTTGCTTCATCCTGGTAAGATTTATTGGGAAATAGGGAAACTTTTATTGGTGGTTATTGTCTCGCCAGGCATAGTGAACTCTCCTTTTGGGCCTTCGCCAGCCTCTGCTCAGGCAGGGCCCCTAAAATCGTGCTCTACTTCAACTGCATTTGGAAATTGCAGGACAGCCATCACACAGACAGCCAAAGAAAAATGGATTGACATCATTAACGAAGATATGCGTGCTGCCAACCTGAGACCTGAGGATGTCCAAAACAAAGCCTTGTGGAAACGACAGTCACAATGCTAACCTCTCCATTGGGAAAATAGCTCAGAAAGAAGAAGGAGTGAGATGGAAGAAGGAAGGGGGAAAACATACTGAAAGCTATGAGAAGAGCAGGGTTTACCTTTCGATAAACAAGGCCCGTAATTGCTGTTTTTAACCTCACTCCCAAAACAAGGCACATGTACATGTAGTGCTGCTCAAACAACGTCTGGAGACAAGCCAAGAGGAACATCACAGCAGCATAGAAATAGCCTTTCCAGGAAGGAGCTTCTGGAGCAGTGATGAAATCTAGGAAAACACTATAAGGAGAGGAGAAAAAAAATCAGTCACCTGAACAACAACCCCAGCAATGGGCATATCTGAATATCCATAAACAGTCAGCCCTCCACGTCTATAGATTCTGTATCCACAGATTCAATAATCACAGCTTGAATTCTACTCAAGCTGTTAAACATGCAAAGTTGTCAGTGCTCAATTTCTGGTATTGTTAAATCTCATGAATGGTAACAATGGTGAAGGGCATCCTCGCGCAATCTTTCATTCCAGGAACAAGACTGATATGCATAACCTCATTGATCCCCTCTTGAACTTTTGCTTGAACGCCTGAGAATCTAGCCATCACAAGGATTGCAAAGAGCAAAGCACCACTTGAAGTCGTTCTCCAAACAAAAAGAGCTCAAATACAGATTTCCTTTGCTGTAAAATGTAAAATGCCTACATACCTTAATGTCTTTGGAATCAAAAACAAGAAGACATCACCAGCGACTAAGCAGAGAGTTCCAAGGAGAAAATAGGTCCCAAATACACTCCAGAAAGATTTCAACAGCAGTTTGCTTTTGCTATTTTCTGGCTGAAGCAGGGGAGCCGTTTCACGAGCCGTTTGACTCTTCCTTTGCTCTCTTTTACATGTCATAGATTCTAAAATTCTGGCCAATAAAAAAAAACAAAGAGATTTATTTGATTTTATTATATTTACGATATGGTTACACAGTCATCGTTCCAGAGTTACTTCTAACATTAAAGCAACAATTAAAAGTTAAATACAAAGAAGAGACTAAATCACAAACACAACATCAAACAGCCACATAATTAAACTTTATTACAAAAAAATGAAAAAGAGAAGAAAAAAAACCCTGAGAAATAAGCATTTATTAATAAGGCCCCTTCTACACTGCCCTATATCCCAGGATCTGATCCCTGTTTTAATCTGGATTATATGAGACCCCCATCTACACTGCCATCTAAAATCCAGATTATCTGCTTCGAACTGGATTAAATGGCAGTGTAGACTCAGATAATAATGTGGATTATCTCCTTCGATAATCTGGATTATATGGCAGTGTAGAAGGGTCGTAAGTGTATTGTTGGTCTGTTTGTTTCTTATTTAGTTCTGTAGTATGTCACAGTAGGTAGTTAGATAGCTGCATAGTTCTGGCAATACATATTATTAAAAAAATCTTCTTTTTGTATTCCTCTTCTTCCTTTACTGTTTTTCTTTTCTTCTGAATTAAAAAAAAATTAAGGAAAAGACATACCATATATACTCGAGTATAAGCAGAGTTTTTCAGCCCATTTTCAGGCTGAAAAAGCCACCCTTGGCTTATACTCGAGTCAAGGTTATTTATTATTTTACACTGTTATTACTATTATTTTTATTACATTTACATAATTTACTCAATTATTATTATTATTATTATTATTATTATTATTCTATTACATTTATTATTATACTCTTTATTATTATTACATTTATTATTTTCTCTATTATTATTACATTTATTACTTTCTCTATTATTATTACATTTTGTGGAACACCCTTTCTGTGGACATCAGACTGGCACCCTCCCTTATGACATTCCGCAAGAGACTAAAGACGTGGTTGTTTGAGAAGGCGTTTGAGTAAGTGCGGCAACAATTGGCAATGACGATCGGAACGGAACATGGATAACGAGATTTGGATTGTGGTTCAACGATGAGACGTCGCGAATGACTTATTGTAATTGTATTATTGATATTGATGTTGTTTAATGTTGTTTTTGATATTGCTAGTTGATGTTGGCTTATGTTGTAAATTGCACCTGATTTTACATGTTGTACACCGCCGTGAGTCACCCCAGGGCTGAGAACGGCGGTCTATAAGCGCAGTAAATAAATAAATAAATAAATAAATTTTACTCTATTATTACTGGAAGGGTACACAACCTACTGATGTCTCAATTAATGTAATTTTACTGGTATCTATTTTTATTTTGAAATTTACCAGTAGATGCTGCATTTCCCACCCTTGGCTTATACTCAAGTCAATAAAGTTTCCCATTAGGTGTCTCAGCTTATATTCAGGATTTTTAAATGCACTTTTAAAACACGGATTTTGGCACTGTCTGGAAGCACCCTGAATCACCTTTATTATTGTTTTAGTGCAAATAGCAGCCATCTTCAGTATAAGTGCTTTCATTTCTTAGCCAATAATAGACTTGGGCACCATCTACACTGTCAGATACTGGCCGTCCCAGAGTTACAAGCATCCAAATTACAAACGACTCATAGTTAAGAACAACAGGAAGTGAGAGGAATATTCCCATCAGAAGGAAGGGAAATCAACTCCTGGAAGAGTTATTATCAGGGAGAAATAGTGTCAGCACTGAAGGTTTACCTCCAATCCGTGTTTCCATAGCAAGCCACATTTTTAAAAATCCAATGATTAGGAACAGAAAGTGAGGTGAAATCTGAACAGACAGCAAAACAAATGTCACAAGAGTGTAAACCCTTCCCTATGTGATCCAAAGCATGTGTATGTGTGTGTGTGTGTGTGTGTGTGTGTGTGTGTGTGTGGCTGGAGTTACACTTTGAAATGTCTGTGTTCTGACTTACATACAAATTCAACTTAAGAACAAACCTACAGAAGCTCTCTTGTTCATAACTTGGGGCTGCCTGCACTAGCAGCCTCACTATCTCTTAGAGTTGCTCTAATGCACAGCGGCACTTACTGTCCAGCACTTGCACAATGCTTTTCCCAGGCATCCTTAAACTTGGTAACTATCTCCTCAGAAGAGTTCTCTTTCACTAGTGACCACAGGTCTTCTGTTCGTAGTGGTTTCCAATATCCTTTCCAGATCATCCTGGGAAACCAATGGCATCAGTTGAAGGCTGCTCATGGTTAACTAGTTCTTAAAAAAAATGTCACATGTGACATAAAATCCAAGCAACATTGATTGATCTTTTGTCAAAGGCTTTCATAGCTGGAATCACTGGGTTGTTTTGAGTTTTTCGGCCTGTCTGGTCAATATGTTCCAGCAGCATTCTCTCCAGACGTTTTGCCTGCATCAGTGACTAATGGCATCTTCAGAGGTTCTGTTGGAAGTGAAGTAAGTGGAGTGTATATACCTGTGGAATAATGTCCAGGGTGGGAGAAAGAACTGTTGTCTGTTTGACCCAAGTGAGGATGTTGCAACAAGCAAGCTTGATTAACTTGATTGAGTGGCCTTGAAGCTGTTAAGTCAATCTGTGAGGGCATTTTGTTCTTTTGAAAATGAACAAAATCTGGTTACCAGTATTTTAAAAAACCCACCAGAATCAAGACAGTAAATAAAGAGCACCATTCATAGAAAGGGGAACTCCAGAAAGCAAACAACCAAGTGTCAGTTAACACCTCCCAAACAGAGGATGACTCCAGGCAACAAAGGTCAGGCTGCATCTATGCAAATACCCTCACTAATTGACTTTGCAGCTGCAGACTACTCAATGCTAATCAAGCATTCTAATTGCAACATTCACACTTGCTTCAAACAGGCAAGTGTTCTTTCTCTCACCCTGGACATTATTCCACAGATATACGAGGGGTTTTTTTTAAGTAAGGTCCATTTTGTTGTAGACACTAGTAGTTCGCGCGCGTACCGCAACGAGCGCATGCGTCGTGTACCGGCATGCCTCGGGAACAACTGTGCTCAGTTTCCACTCTGTAGCTAACCTGTACGGTTCTGTTCTGTGCTTTAAAAATGTTTAAGACTATCAACTCACCTGCCGCATGTGATACGGTTTTTGTCAGCAAGGAACCTGAGTGGTCCTCATCATGGACGTTGTCATGGCCATCTTTGAATTGTCGTACCCACTTACGCACTTCTGCTTTCACTCATAACAGTATCACCGTACACTTCACAAATCTGTCGATGAATTTCTGCAGCAGGCAGGTTCCTTGCTGACAAAAACCGTATCACTGAGCGAACCTCACATGCGGCGGGTGAGTTGATAGTCTTAAACATTTTTAAAGCACAGAACAGAACCGTACAGGTTAGCTACAGAGCGGAAACTGAGCGCAGTTGTTCCCGAGGCATGCCGGTACACGACGCACGCGCTCATTGCGGTATGCGCGCGAACTACTAGTGTCTACAACAAAACGGACCTTACTTTAAAAATACCCCTCGTATTTGATTCATTATCACTAGCAACAGAACCTCTGAAGATGCCATTAGCCACAGGTGCACGCAAAACATCAGGAAAGAATGCTACTGGAACATGGCCAAACAGCCCGAAACCCATGGCAATCCAACATTTAATGAGTTAACCACAGTTCAGCCACTGCTTTAAAGATACATGTTGTGTTTTCTTACCCTGCAAACCACCAAAATGTGATTTTGGAAAGAAAAGACGCTCTGGATTCAGGGCACGGGTTCTGCAAAAGTTTGAAGAACAGGGAAAACTTCATATATGCAACTAATACAAGGGCATCAATCCCTCCTCAGAAAGACTGGACATTTGGTGGGGAAAAGGGGAAAAAATGGAAAGAAAATTGGAAGCCTGGACAAAAACATTATTGAAAGATTATCCATATAAAACAAGCAAAAAGATCAGATTCTTACAGTGTCAGTGTCAACTTTAGAGAAGAAGGGAGGCTGATCTACGATGCAGCAGAGCCCAAGTTCCAAAGAGACCAAGGTGAAATAAATATATGAAGTAACATGATGGAAGGGAGCGCTTCTGAAACCCTGCAAAAGTAAGTAATTTGTGGTATTATTAGCATACATAGGAGACCATTGGCTTCTAATAATTTCTAAGACAAATAACGTAAACTGTGAGTTTGTATCTACTATCAAATTCAATTCACTCAGGTCGGGAAAAATAGAAATGCTCCAGAAGCGCTGGCCAACTTCTGAAAGGGGAGAAAAAGAGAAACAGGAAAAAATGCCAGAAATCCAGCACTTTCCGGCTGGGAATGGCACAGAATGCTGTGTATTTTTCTGTGGACCTACGCTTGAATCCCTAGATGGGCAACACATCTATATGTTATATTTGTGTGTGTGTGTGTTCAAAATTTTAAATTTATTGTATACAAGTGATAAGCAAAAAAAATACATTAACTAGCAAAGCAGGTACATTGCAACATCCTAAGAAATCCTTTCCCTCCTTCCTCGTGTCCGTGAACCCACCACCCATGACTTTCATCACTACTCATTATGAATCTTCTCTTCTATCTAACTACCTAATTATTAGGTGAAAATATGTGTGTGGATGTCGCTGGGGTGTCCACTTTCACAGACAGGCTCCCACTCCCGCAAACAGCTTTAACCCACAGTGCTGAGGAGCTACCAAAAGCCTTCCCTCCAATGACATTTCAGGTTATAGCGACCCATCATAGTGAGAGTTGTAATTCATTTTGCATCTTCTGGGGAGTATACTGAGCCCCACCGATGATGCATCTAGAACAAACTTGCCCGACATAACAAACTTTAAGTACTGATGGAGTGTTTTGGGGTTAACCTAACATGATATGAGTTGTAGTTCACCCAATCCTATGCATTTTGTAAAAAAAAAAGACTTCAATGCATTCTTGAGAAGGGAAATAATGGCTTAATCTCTAGATTATACAAACATAGGAGTATTTAGGGAAAGAAAGGGGATGAAAAAAATTGTCAATATAGCTTAAATCGAAATCTTGGAAAGGTGAAAAAGAACTGTTTTAAAAAAGATTGGAGAGAAAGGTTACTAGACTATATTCAAATGGCCAAGCTATCAAATGATATACAGGGAGGAAATAATGAAGAGTTCACCAAAAAAATGAAATCTGGTATTTGAATATCTGGAAAGAAAGACAATAGCTGCAAGGGGAAATTACTAAAATAGTTATAAGGGTAGATTTTATTAGATACTAGCTTGGGGACCCGGCGCTGCCCGGGTTATTAGAGAAAGTGGGTAATGGTGGTTCTGTATGCCAAATTTGGTCTTTATTGGTCATTGTTTTCAGGAAGTGAGTGAAGGAACTTGAAGTCCCATCATCCATTGTCCATCCTCCTCCAAACAGCATCGGGATGTAGAGTGGGTCAAGGTGGCTCTGTGTGCCAAGTTTGGTCTTGATCGGACATTACTAAGGGTTGCAGCAGTCTTGGGAAGGGAGTGGAGGTACTTAAAGTCCCATCATCCATGGTCTATCCTCCTCGAAAGTGCACCAGGATGTAGAGTGGGTCATGGGGACTCTGTGTGCCAAGTTTGGTCTTGATCAGTCATTGGCGAGGGTCTCAGTGGTCTCAGGAAGTGAGTGAAGTGACTGCAAGTCCCATCATCCATTGTCAAATTCTTCCAATCCGCACCAGGATGTAGAGTGGGTCATGTGGGCTCTCTGTGTAAACTGTGGTCCTAATCCATCATTGTTGGCAGTTGTAATGGTCTTAGGAAGGGAGTGCAGGTATTGCAAGTTCCATCGTCCATGGTGCATCCTCCTCCAAACTGCACCAGGATGTAGAGTGTGTCATGGAGACTCAGTATGCCAAGTTTGGTCTTTATCGGTAATTGGGTGAGGGTTGCAGTGGTCTCAAGAATTGAGCAAAGGTACTGCAAGTCCCATAATCCATGGTCCATCCCCGGCCAAACCACACCAGGACGTAAAGTGGGTCATGAGAGGTCTATGTGCCAAGTTTGGTCCTGATCAGTCATTGGATGAGGTTAACAGCGGTCTCAGAATGTGAGTGATGGTACTGCAAGTCCCATCATCCATGGTCCATCCTCCTCCAAACTGCAGTAGGATGCAGAGTGGGTCTTGCAGGCTCTGTGTGCCAAGTTTGGTCTGTATTGGTAATTCTCTGACGCAGCTCCTGGCCTTTTCCTTTCCTCTCTTTGTCATCTTGGAATCTTGGAATTGTGGCTGGCCAATCAGAGACCATATGCAAATTTCCTTCTCATGTCCCTGTTTCTGCCATGAACTCTTTTCTCCACCAGGGGCTCCTATTGAAGCTGGCCAATCAGAGACCATATGCAAATAGCACCACTGGGGCAGCCAATCAGAATGTTGGAACTTTCAGGCTGGCCAATCAAAACGCTGGCACATACTCCTCCCGTCGCACCGCCACACTTTTGTCCGCCGCATACAAACTTTCACCTTTATTATATACATAGACTAGCTTGGGTACTCGGCGTTGCCTGGGTTATGAGATTACAACACCGATTTTCTTTTGAGAACCCAACACTAAATCTTTCCTGAATCAATCATGTAGTTTATGGGCAAATTATTCAAAGAGGCATTTTTTTCTTCTTGCCTTCTTGTCCCCAGTGTCACTTTCATCTGACAGACTGACGGTATATGATTATGACCATTGTTTATTATTCTTATACTTTCCTCTATTTTTGATTCTTTTCTGTATCACAGCAAGCTAGGTGACTTTGGGCAAGTGACACTCTCTCATCCTCAGAGGAAGGCTAAGGCAACAAATCTTGCCAAGAAACCCCCATCATAGGTTTGCCTAAGGATTGCCTGACGTCAGAAATAATTTGAAGGCATACAGCTCCAGTACAACCTATCTGCATTCAACTCATGAACAACCAAGGTTAACAACTGTAACTGAGAGATGTCATCAAAATTACGGGCCATAATTAACAACCAAAACTTACACCTTCCTGAGCATCTTGTATTTTGGAGATAAGGGAACCCATAGCAGAGAGAAAAGATAGGAACCAATACAGCAACAGGACACTGGAAGACTGGACGCCTTTCTGTCGTTCTGTCTGAGTTAGAAATAAAACCAGGATCTATCAGGAAAAGCAGGGAGGGGGAAAATAATATAAAATATGTTTAGAAAAAGGAAATCCAAGTGATAAATGCAAGCAACTATAATGGACTGCTAAAGGCTAAAACCTTTTTGTTCAGACAGGCTTTTAAAGATGAAGGTTTTTAAGATCAATTCAGGGAGTGCTGTGGTTTTTAACTTTAAATTTGTTTTAATGGTTTTAACTGGGAATTTTTAAAATACTGTTTATATTTAATCCTGTTTCAATGTTTGCATATTTGTATATTTTAAATGGTTATGCTGATGCTTTATGTTAAGTCACTTTGAGAAGCTAAAGTGGGGCATAATGATGATGATGATGATGATGATGATCATAGGACCCCCTTGTGGCTCAGTGGGTTAAACCACTGAGCTGCTAAACTTGCTGACTGAAAGGTTGGCAGTTTTAATCTGGGGAGTGGGGTGAACTCCCGCTGCTAGCACCAGCTTCTGCCAACTTAGCAAATGTAAATAGATCAACAGGTACCTCTTCTGCAGGAAGGTAACGGCACTCCATGCAATCATGCCAGCCACATGACCTTGGAGATGTCTACGGACAACACCACTCTTTGGCTTAGAAATGGAGATGAGCATCACTCCCAGAGTTGGACACGAATAGACTTAATGTCAAGGGGAAACTTTTACCTTTACTTCAATAATAATAATAACAATAACAACAATAACAACAACAACAATAACAACAACAACAGCTGCTCTGGCAGCCAAGCGGAGCTGCTGAAAACAAAGAAGAGTGGAAAACATGCTCAGAACCAGAGTTGGGGCATGCCTTGAAAACCATTGTGGCCAATGTCCTGCTTTATATGCTTGAAAACCACTAGTCAAGGAGAGTTCATCAACCCTCTACTACATTAGCACATTTGTTATTGAACTAACAAATGGAATCTACTTAATTGCAAACCGTTCGATCTGGAAAAACAGACAACAAGAGGTCCTCAGCTTTTGATCTTCTAAATCAGTGGTTACCAACCTTTTTTGATCAAGGATCACTTGACCAGGGACTACTCTCCAACATTATTACCAAAAGGGTTATGAATCAGTTTTTGGTCAACTTTAGATTCAGCTTGGTTATTTGGGGTGCTGACTGAGAAAACTGCATTGGATTGACCACATCAGCTCTAGTTTCTGATGCAGAACATATGCTATCCAGTAATTGCTATCCGCTCACCCACAGAAAACTATATTTAATAAGCCTCGACACTATAAGAAGATTTCGCATGACCAGTTGCTCTTGTTGCAATGGTGCAGTAATGGTGAGGCCGTGGACCATATTTTTGTTCTTGCGGACCACCGGTGGTCCATGGACCACATGTTGGGAACCACTGCTCTAAATAATCTTTGATAATCCTGGGAGGAACTTCTAGGAATTAGATGTCAAAATCCATGGGCCAAAGAGTGAAGACCACTGTTTTGGGTGGACGACTTCTTGGATTGGGAGCTGCCCACCACTGCTCTAACTGGGCTCCAGTCCTACCTCAATGACTGTGAAGTGTGTCTCTCCCAGTGTCACTACTGTCCTGCTCAAAAGTGACTACTGGGAAGCAGTTTTCTATCTTCTCCAGAGCAGGACCGTAATGACCTGGGGACAGTGGTTTCATTTACTGTTGGACAGAGACCATAATGTTTCCAAATAGCAGCCCTCCCAAAAGAGATGTCTATGCATGCAGTTTGCTGCACTTCGTGTTTTTCTGGGACCTTCTACACAGGCCCTAGAATGTGGAAGAAACCGGGGTAAAAAGGCTGTGTGTGACTACATGATGTTTGCCAAAAATATGTAGTGGATTGCATCAACAGCTGAAAAACACATGTTAAAAAGGTGTGTTTAAAATCCAATTTCAGCCAGAAAATGCACATATTTGCATGACTGTATATCACTGCACTCAAGAAAAAGACATGACATCATTGCTATATGCTGGTGTGGACTGCCCCAGTGCACGTGTGCATTTAAACGGCACTCCAAAGGGTCACTATTTCTGCACATTGGGGGCGGTGCAATAGTGATTAGAATGTGGAAGGCTGGGTGTGTTGTTTTGTGAAGTGTGCTGGGGAAAGCACTTAATTTCATTGTACAATGACAATACAGTTATCTATTCTGTTCTATGAGGGCTGTAAACAGATGGAGCCACAGACAAACAGGTAGCTCGATGGACGCTGAATTGGAAACCGATTTCCATGAGAACTCTCTCCAAGCATTCCTTTGTTCTGACATTTATGAAATTAGACAGATCTTGAAATGAAAGAGTGGGCACCAGCATGGATGGCAAGTGACCCCAAAGGGAACTGGGGGTCAAGAGGGGAAAAGGCAGCAGGAGGGTGAGGAGAGAGAATGACAAGAATCTGCTTGTGTACACATTTGTATATCCACACCAGTGCTTATGAGGTCTGGCGCATCTTGGAGAGTCAGTTTAAACAATTTAAAGAAAAAATTATGTCGGATGTCCTGTGTCCATCTTGCAGATTTCTAAAATGCATGACAATTGAACCTGTCAGGACTCATGAGGAGCATTGACCTTCTGTGCTGACTGGGTTGTGCTGTTGCTTGATGAGTGCTCTCCGGGTGAAGTGGCCTCCAGGAACAACCAGAGTCTGGACTCACTCTAAGTAGGAAGGGTCTTTCCCTTCCAGGTGAAGACTGCTCTGCACCAGAATAGGAGCTACTCCCACAACTCAACAATTTTGATGTTCCATAAGCAGAGGCGACCCTAGGTAATTTTCAACAGTAAGCAAACAGTATTTTGGCGCCCCCCCCCCCCCAACCAATCATTGATATATATTTTCTGTTCATCATGGGAGTTCTGTGTGCCATATTTGGTTCAATTCCATCATTGGTGGAGTTCAGAATGCTCTTTGATTTTAGGTGAACTGTACATCTCAGTAACTACAACTCGCATATGTCAAGGTCTATTTTCCCCCAAGAGCGCCTCAAGAGCGCCCCTGGGCAAAATCAACTATATTGCGAATGCTTACTTTGCGTAATGGGTTGAGCCGCCTCTGTCCATAAGCAAAAAGGGAAGAACAGGATGAAGATGAAATCAAAAATAACTAAACAAAAAGTAAGTGTTAACTTTACCATAGTAACCAGCTGTAACGCACAGCTGATGATGAGTCCTGGATCTTGTTGAATCCCTTGGTTTGCTTCCCAAAGAATGTAGAATGCACTTGCAAAATACATGGCTAAAAAAACAAAGCCAAGAACCTAGGAACAACGTGAACATCTGGCTCAGAACACGACAAGATAAACATCTGGAAAAATGGACAAAGGATTGGCACAGACTTGCTACATCCCATCCCTACATACAGTAGAGTCGTGCTTACCCAACATAAATGGGCTGGCAGAATGTTGGATAAGCGTGATGTTGGATAATAAGGAGGGATTAAGGAAAATCCTATTAAATGTCAAATTACATTATGATTTTACAAATTAAGCACCAAAACATCAAGTTTTACAACAAATCGGCAGAAAAAGCAGTTCAATACATGGTAACGTTATGTAGTAATTACTGTATTTACAAATTTAGCACCAAAACATCGCAATGTATTGAAACAGCTGTGGATCCAGGTGGGAGGTAGATTGTGTTGGATAATACAAAATGTTGGCTGAGCAATGGTTGGATAAACGAGGCTCTACTGTATTCTATCCTTGTTGTTAGTCATTAAGAAAACATGCACCTGAAATCACTCCGCGCTTCCTCCAGTTCTAAGCTTTTTAAATTTCAATTCTCCCCTTTTTCTTATAAATGGAATTAAGGCAGCTTACAGAACCCTTACAATTGTAATATTACATGAAAAATTCATAACCTTTGGAACTCCAGTAAAGCCCGCATCAATGAAACATACTACCCTAGCAATCTGAACACAAATAGCTCAATTGGTTTTGGAAGCTAAGCTGTGTTGGGCCTGTTCTGGACTTGGATGGGTGGCTGCAAGGAAAGACAATGGACAGGATGATTTGTGGCTGTCACCTAACTGGCAATGCTGGAAGAGAGAGTCTGGCTGGAAGAAGGCCATATCCTATGCTCCTAAAATCCCGTAGAGCCTGCTAGAAGCCCCCTTTGCAGAAAGACACTTGCCATTTTCGCTTTAAAGGCTGCAGACATCCTGATATAGCCTCTAGCATTCTTCTGGAGATAAAGGTAATAGAAAGGAAAAGAGACCCAGAGGCAGAGGCAAGGAATCCAAATCAGTACAGTCGACTGAAAGCAGGTCGTCAGGCGCGGGGCATCTGTGTACCATGTCTGGTTCCAGTCCTGCAATGCAAAAACACAAGTGTTAAAGCTGAAGGAGAAAGGGAGCACAGAGAAAGACTTCCAGGCAGTGTTTAGGTTCATCCATCCTCATATTGCTTAGTCCAGATGCTTCGATCCTCCAAATGTTTAGGACGTCATCTCCCAGAATTCCTGACTGTTGGCCAAGGTGGTTAAAGCTCCTGGGAGATGAAGTTCAAAACATTAAATGGGCCAAAGATTGAGGACCACTGGTCCGTTCTGGCTGGCCAGCCCTTCACATTTCTCCTATTGCCCCAAGAGCAGGGATCCCTTTAGGTCCTGCTGTTTTGCATTGCAAACCCTACAAAGTCTTTTATGCTTGCTAAGATTCTGGAGCAGATCATTAAGGAGGGAGTTTAGAACCACTTAGAAAGGAATGCTGTGATTCCTAAAAGTCAACATGGATTTCTCAAAAACAAGTCATGCCAGACTCATCTTATCTCTTTTTTCTATAGAGCTACAAGATTGGTAGATGCAGGTAATGCTGTGTATGGAGAACATCTTGATTTCAGAAAGGCCTTTGACAAAATTCCCATGACCTTCTTGCAAGCAAACTAGTCAAATGTGGGCTAAGCAAGGCTACTGTTAGGTGGATCTGCAGTTGGTTAAGGGGCCAAACCCAAAGGGTGTTTCTCCCCAAAGCTTCTTCTTCATCCTGGAAAGAAGTGACTAGTGGATGTCAGCAGGGTTCAGTCCTGGGCTCAGTTCTGTTCAACATCTTTATTAATGACTTGGATGAAGGTTTAGAGGGCAGGCTTATCAAGTTTGCAGATGACACCAAATTAGGAGAGCTAATACTCCGGAGGATAGGATCAGAATTTGAAAGGACCTTAACAGATTACAGAGCCATTTGGCCAAAACTAACAAAATGAATTTCAACAGGGACAAATGTAAGATACTCCACTTAGGCAGGAAAAATGAAATGCAAAGATATAGGATGGGTGTCACCTGGTTCCACAGCAGTCCATGTGAGAAAGATCTTGGAGTCTTCATGGACAATAAGATGAACATGAGTCAAGAATGTGATGTAGCACCTAACAAATCCAATGGGATTTTGCGCTGCATCAGAAGGAGTCTATTGTCCACATTCTGGTTTGGTCAGACCTCCTTACGTGGAATACTGTGTCCGGTTCTGGGCACCACAATTCAAAAGAGATATTGACAAGCTGGAAAGTGTCCAGAGGAAGAGGGCAACTAAACTAATCAAAGGCTGGAGACTATGAATAATCTCTATGAGGAGTGTCTTAAAGAACTGTGCATGTTTAGCCTGCAGAAGAGAAGGTTGAGGGGAGACATGATCAATATGTGAAAGGGTTTCATAAGGAAGAAGGAGTAGGCTTGTTTTCTGCTGCCCTGGAAACTAGGACTTGGAGCAATGTGTTCAAATGACAGATAAAGAGATTCCACCTGAACATGAGGAAGAACTTAATGACCATAAGGAAAGCTGTTCAACAGTGGAACTCTCTGCTTCAGAGTCTGGTGGAAGTTCCTTTCTTGGAAGCTTTTAAACAAAAGCTGGGTGACTATCTATCAGGGATGCTTTGATTGTGCTTTTGCTGCATGGTAGAAGGGGGTTGAACTAGATGGCCTATGTGGTCTCTTCCAACTCTATGATTCTATGACTCTAAGTCTCTTAGGACTAAATTCCATAATATATGTAGGACCAACATTTCCCTGCTCCTGTGCTTTGTGTGCTGTCACCCAAAGTGACAGCACAGAATATCTCAAAATTAAAGTGGTCAGTTGTACCAGGACTCTCTTTCTCACCCACAACTTGGCAGAGCGGTTTCCCTGAGAGCTGCACAGCCAACTTGCACCGCTCATGGCTCCTTCCGATCCTCTTCCAGCTGTTCCACTTTGTCCCACTTTTCCAGCTTCCTGGCCTCGCTCTTTGCTGGCGTCAAGAGTTTGACTGCTGCCTCTTCCAACAGGCAAGACTCATAGCACCTCCCCCTTTGACCCAAAGGCCGAAGTCTCTGCAGCAGCTCAAGGTCCTCTTTAAAAGAATGTGTGTGCACACACTGGTATTTTATGCATTTCTATGGCTGGAAAGCATGGGAGCATGTGGCCAAAAAGAACCCCAAAGGCACTGGATCCCATCTGAATTTGGAAACTATGCAAGGTGCACCTCAATGTTCAATGTTCAAAACTCTGAAACCAAAAAAAAAAAAAGTTATTTGCTGCCGAATGTAATGCGCAGAGGCAAAAAGTGCCCTCTTAATTTAGCCCCCCCCCAAAAAAAGTGTGCATTACAGTGGCTGCCTACTTATAATTCCTCCTTCAGAAACAAGTGTTAGGACACCAAACCTTACATCAGAAAAAGAAAACTTTGGGGTTCATCTGTGCAGTAGAATGAATGTATAGCCTTGGTTCAATGCTATGGGGTTATGATGTGTTATTTATAATTGGTTTTGTACTGTATTTTTATTTTTATGATTTACTGCCATGTTCTGTTATATTGATGTATTGTATTGCTGGGCTTGGCCTCATGTAAGCCGCCCCGGATCCCCTTGGTGGTGGGGTATAGTTTTATTATTATTTATTACTAGCTGTGCCCTGCCACACATTGCTGTTGCCCAGTCTGTCTATATGTGTTTTCTGTGTGTGTATATATTTGTGTATGTGTGTATATATGTAGTTATGCGCATGCGTTGTAATGATTTTTTTTATTTTTTGGCTTTTTAAGTCTCTTCGTGTTTTTCAGTGTTTTTTATAAGTGATGGTCACTCATTGGCCTGATAGGTGTAATGTGTCCAAATTTGGTGTCAATTTGTCAAGTGGTTTTTGAGTTATGTTAATCCCACAAATGAACATTACATTGTTATTATTATTGTTATTGTTATTATTATTATTATTATTATTATTATTATTATTATTAGAGCTGTAGTTTGGAATCATGGCGGCTGCCAAAGGATGCTGGTGCTTCATCAAACTACAAATCTCAGAATTGAATAGGGTTGAGCCATGGCAATGAAATGAAAGATTATGTCCCTCAAAGAGGAGCTCCTAAAGCAGTTTACCTTTCAAATCTAATGCACACCCTCCTTTTGGAGAGACCTTTTAGCCCCCCAAAAGATGAACATTTGATTTGAGTCAATAGGGTATTTTTACAGTGTGGGCAGTTAGCCATGAAGACAAAAGTCCACCGTTGCCGTATCAAAATTCCCTTTTATCCAAGGCAAACACATTGCATCATAAAACTGTGGTACAGCATTCGGTTTTATTCTAATGGGACACTGTAACATTTACAGAATATACATTTGTATCGAAAAAACATGTATGAAAGTACATACAGGAAAGTATAATGATTTTGATTTCACTAATACCACACCTAAAGCCGCAAAATAGTTCAGATTCATGTTTAACAGTGCAGTCATAATTTTGAAAGTAGTTGTTCTGCTCCAGAAATTCGTTTTTGTGTCTGCCACAAATTATGTTGAATTGGTTGAGACTCAATGAGACATGCATTGAAAAACTAGAGCAAAATGTGCTATAGCAGGATGTCCCTCTCGCAAAAACAAAGTTTTTGAAGTTTAATAAACTTTTCCCATGTTTTTATGATACAACCAAATAGGAAATGACATTTAGAAAGCAGGAATAAAAATGGTGTAACATAGTGCAATATCTAATAATATAATTATAATAAAATATAAGAAAAAATATAATAATAAAATATAATAATATAACAATATAATATAATTATATTAAAATATAATTTAAGAATATAATAATTAAATATAATGTGAAATAGCAGGATGTTTTTCCAAAAACAACAAAGCTTGTGGAGTTTAATAAACTTTTCCCATGTTTTTTTTTATAGTCTGTGACGGCGCGAGTGGCGCCACCTATGTATAGAACTGTTAGTTGTAAGACTTAAACTGTTGTATCATGCTTTATCCTGCCCCTTTTTACACTGTTTATGTATAGTTGTATGGATTGGTTGCTTGTAGCTGTCAATCAGTACTGTTTGGCTCCACCTCTTCCTGCAGGAGGGGAGACCTTCCTTTTTCTTCTTCATTCTGCCTTCAGAGTTCGTACCAGATGGACGTAAGAGACCTGACTCTAAAGGACCCTGATGTAAGTTACCTCTTAGCATCAGTTCTGAGGTTTTTTTACCCCTGGGAGTCAAGCTTTATGTCCAGATTGTCCTGGACAATTATTGAGGAGACCTAGGTGCCTTCAAGCCGGTTCTTTTGGCACCAAAGGAAGATCCTGAGTCTTCAAAACATAGGCCATCTGAACTGGGGTTGTGGTTTGCTCCGGCATTCACAGCCATTGAGGAAAGAGGAAACTTGGTGAGGCTTCTCAGCTTCAAACCCCTTGGACCCAGGACGGATTGAGACTGTAATGTATGTTTTCCTTCACCCCTCTAAAGTTTTCCAGCTCATTGCTTTGAAGAAATGACTTTGTGATAAATAAAACTTATCTTGAGCTATTTACAGCTTTTTGGGTTTTTGGAAGTTCCAGTTTCCTATAGGAGGGCAAGAAGCAATCCCCTGGGGGAAAGATGCCACGTCCATTCCTCCTTTATTGAGAATAATAGCCCCCAGGCGCGACGGCACATTGTCATAGAACCAATTAGGAAATAATAACATTTATAACCCAGGAACAAAATGGTGTTACATAGTGTAGTATATAATAATAAAATATAATTATAATAAAATGAAATAATACAACATTGTAACAATATAATAATAAATATAATAATATAACAATAAAATATAATAATGAATATAATAATATAGTGTAATAATAGACTAATATAACAATATAACAATAATATAACAATATAATAATAATATAACAATATATTATAATACTATAATAATATATAAAAATAATATAATGTAAGTAAGTAAATTTTTATTTCTATCCCACCCTAACTCCCCATGGGAACTCAGGGTGGCTCACAGCATAAAAGGGAAACATTCAATGCCATAAAAAAATTAACAATATAATGTGCTATAACAGAATGACCTTCCCATAAAACAAAGTTTGTGCAGTTTAATACACTTTCCCCTTGTTTTTTTAATGATAACACCAATTAGAAAATAATAATAATGTGTTGTCTAAGGCTTTCATGGCTGGAAACATTGGGTTGCTATGAGTTTTCTGGGCTGTATGGCCATGTTCCAGAAGCATTCTCTCCTGACGTTTCGACCACATCTATGGCAGGCATACTCAGAGGTTGTAATGTTTGTTGGAAACTAGGAGAATGTCGTTTATATGTCTGTGGAATGTCCAGGATGGAAGAAAGAACTCTTGTCTGCTTGAGGCAAGTATGAATGTTGCAATTGGCCTCCTTGATTAGGATTTAATAGCCTTGCAGCTTCAAAGCCTGGCTGCCTGCTGCTTGGCGGAATCCTTTGTTGGGAGGTGTTAGCTGGCCCTGATTGTTTCCTGTCTGGAATTCACCTATTTTTTTTAGTGTTGCTCTTTATTTACTGTCTTGATTTTAGAGGATGTTTTTAATACCAGTTTCCTCCTTTCTGATGAAATTGTCCACAATGGTTTTCAACCTGGGGTCCCCAGATGTTTTTGGCCTACAACTCCCAGAAATCCCAGCCAGTTTACCAGCTGTTAGGATTTCTGGGAGTTGAAGGCCAAAAACATTTGGGGACCCCAGGTTGAGAACCACTGGTCCATATGCGTGAGGATTTCAGTGGCTTCTCTGTGTAGTCTGACATGGTGGTTGTTTGAGTGGTCCAGCATTTCTGTGTTCTCAGATGATATGGGGTATCCAGATTAGTTCATGCTCTGCTCTGCTATGGCTGTCTTCTCTGCTTGAATTAGTCTGCAGTGCCTTTCATGTTCCTTGATAGGTGTTTCATCACAGTGTCTGGTGGTCCCTATGTAGACTTGTCCACAGCTGCATGATATATGGTAGACTCCTGCAGAGGTGAGKGGATCCCCCTTGTGTCCTTTGCTGAACGTGGCATTTGTTGGATTTTCTTATTGGGACTGGAGATAGTTTTTAGGTTGTGTTTATTCATCAGCTTCCCTATGCAGTCATTGGCTTCCTTGATGTATGGTAAGAAAACTTTTCCTCTGGGTGGATCTTTGTCTTTACTCCCATGGGTTCATCTTGGTATTGCAACTCTTCTGATGTCTCTGGTGGAGTATCCATTGGCCTGTAGTGCCCAGTTTAGGTGGTTCAGTTCACCTTGGAGGAGGTGAGTGTTGGACAGCAATACTAAAAAAAACGGGAATTTCAGACAAGATTCAGCGAACACCTCCCAATAAAGGATTCCCCCAGGCAGCAACCAGCCAGGCTTTGAAGCTGCAAGGCCATTAAATGCTAATCAAGGTGGCCAGTTGCAACATTCACACTTGCCTCAAGCAGACAAGAGTTCTTTCTCCCACCTTGGACATGATTCCACAGATAGATAAACCTCACTTGCCTAGTTTCCAATACGAGAGTAGACCTCACAACCTCTGAGGATGCCTAGGCAAAACGTCAGGAGAGACTGTTGCTGGAACATGGCCAGACAGCCCGGAAAACTCACAGCACCCAAGTGATTCCGGCCACGAAAGCCTTCGACAACACTTAACCACAGGATGGCCTCAATCCTACACCTGAAACGCGACTCTCTTGGCTGCCCCACGCGCAGGCGCAGTACGCTGCCAGCCCGCCTCCCGAGATTTGAGGAATGTACCAAGTGGTGAGGGGCGCTCAGGGCACGCTCCGGGGATTTGACAGTGATCGACCAAAACAACAACCACCGCAAGAAACTCTCCTGTCATTAGTGGGCTCTTCTAATTCTGTAAAAATTGGAATTGGGGGAGAGGTGTCCCCTTTTTAAAATTTTGGTACATTCCTCCCAATCCGTTCTGAAGCACCTGCTTATCAAATCAGCTACGAAAGCTTGAGAGGGCCTCAAAGTCTTTGCCGCGTTGTTTCCTAGGTGAACGCGCCAGTGCTTTTTTTTTTTCTTCCTTTCCTGACAGGAGCTGCTACGGAAGCCTGCGAGGGTCGTAAATCCTCCCTCGGAGTTGTTTCCTAGGCGAGCGCGCCAGTTCTCTTCCGTCAGCGCTGCCAACGTGGAGCCGGGTGAGGAAGGCGGAAGTCCTCGAGGAGGAGGCAGGCCATGGAGGGCGCCCGGGAGGAGAAGGGCAAGGTAGGCCTTTCTGTCGGGGTAGCGCCAGCTCTGAGGGAAGGGGGCCTCCCCACAGTCTAAGCCTGAGCCTACTTGGGCCTTCCCTCCAGCTGTTTTGGACTCCAACTCCCACAATTCCTAACAGTAGGCTGTTAGTAGGCTGGCCCAAATTGGCCCAGGCCTAACCTAGATCTATATATGCATGATATTGTTAGTATATTATTGTAATACATTATTGTTACTGTACTATTACTACTAAATTAGGTTTATATTACTTTGACACTATATTATTGCTATATTATATATATGTTATAATATATTATTACTGTATTATATGTATATATGCCAATATATTATTATTACTATATATATAATTGCATTATTATGACATATTGTGATACAATCTATTAATACTAATATCCTGTATTATATATATATTAAAAGTAAAGGTATATATTATGATTGCATTATTATGACTGAGGTGTGCATATATATTACAATACATTGTGTATATACATTTACAATATCTTATTCAAATATATATATTACTTCAATATATTACATTATTACAATATATTATTATTATGTTTATATATATATATATATATATATATATCAATTATTATATATCTATTATTGCAATATATTATTACTATATATAAATCAAGTATATTATCATTACATTATTATTTTTACAATATTTTATTTCTTTATTTTGGGAATTTCTGTTCCACCTTTCTCCTGTCAGACTCAATATTACTATAGTAATATAACTATATACTGTGTATACACACACACACACACATTATTTTGGGAGTTACTGTGCACCCACAATCAAAGAACAGTGTAGACATAAAAGACAGTGACTCTGGACTAAACATTGTACGCAGACCCAACATGACCAACTTTGAATACTGGTAGGGTTGGAAAAATGACAGATGATGATGAAAGTTATAGTTTACTCATATTTTTATACTTTTTTCTAATGGGTCTATTCTGAAAATCCAAAACCCAGCAATGATTCTTTTTATGGTTATGGTTATAAACCTAACCTGGGCATTGCCGGGTCCTAAGCTTTTTTATTATTATTTGATACATCCCATCAATTAACAAACTTTTGCCATGCAAGTCTTATTTCAGTATATATTATTCCAAAAGTAAAATTTCCTTATATGACACTTTATACATTCCTTAGATGTGTGCCACCCATTACCCATACCCTCCCCCCCCCATTCCCCCCACCCTCCTGGAACAGCAATTTTAAATGGTGTCATTGCATCAATTTAACCGTGTGGAAAGCCTGGTTCAAAATGCTATATCTATCATCTCCATTTATTTTGTTGATTAGAATAGGCCATTTCCTGTACCAGTCTTGTTTTGTATGACTATTTATATACTTGTTTTTTCCTTTGATTAATGACATTATTGATTATATATTTCGATAGATAAGCCCACCAAGTTTCTAAATCCCTTCTTGTATTGTCTTTCCATAGCCTGTATTGTGGCTGTCATATATTTTAGGATTTCTGTCTAATTATTGTTATTTTCCTTTGCCTCTATAGTGAGAAACATGAATCTGGCTTTATCCAACTTTGATTCTTTCCCTATTATTTCTTCCATTACATATATTATTTTATTATAATAGTTCTGATTTTTTCTATAATCCCACCACATGTGGGATAATGAACCTATTCCCTCACAATTATGGCAAGGCTTGTTTGAAATATTTCCCATTATGTGAGCTAATTGAAGGGCGGGGGGGGGGGGGGGTTCTATGCCATTTGGAAATTTCTTTCTTTTGTGTTACTTTGATCCTCATATGCTGGATACCTAAGCTAGTCTATAATGAAAGTGAGTGTATGTATATATCTATGTTTGTATGTATGTATTTTCCCAAATGGCTCCTACTTCCAGAGAGCGCTGTAACTTCCGCCAACAATAGATCTGGATCAAACTTGGCACATAGACCCCCAAAAACCAACTTTAAGTCCTGGTGGTGTTTGGGTTGGGATAGTATGGCTGATGAGAGTTGCAGTACATACACCCACATCCACCAGAGACCACTGCGAATCCTATTAGCGATGGATGTGGAACACACTTGCAGAAACAAAGACTGGCTTTTTCTAATAATAGTATTACAAATTATCTATCCCAGGCATCACTGGATACCTAAGCTAGTATAGAATAAGTATAAAAAACCCAAACATTTATTGATCAGAAATCAGTATTTGCAGCTCTTGCTAAACAGGCTGATTTTATTATTATTATTATAATAACTTTATTTGTACCCCGCTAGCATCTCCCAAGGGATTCGATGCGGCTTACAACAGGCCAAAGCCCACACAATACAACAATACAGTACCTAGCAAATAAAACAGTTAAGCAAGAACAATAACAATAGCAGTACAACAAGACATTATTAAAACTGAGCCGGTCAGAGTGGGGGTACAGGATTAAAAGTGCTGATGTGTCGGAGGGATAAGTGCGGTGTGCGGTGATCTTGGTTCTAACTAAAGTGCTTCTGGGATATTGCTGGAGTTTCCTATTCTGGAAAGGCACACCGGAACAGCCAGGTCTTCAAACTCTTCCTAAAGACTGCCAGTGTAGGGGCTTGTCTGATATCCTTGGGGAGGGTGTTCCAGAGGCGGGGGGCCACCACAGAGAAGGCCCTGTCTCGTGTCCCCACCAAGCGCGCTTGTGACGCGGGCGGGATCACGAGCAGGGTCTCTCCAGATGACCGGAGTGAACGTGTGGGTTCGTAGACAACGATACGGTCACGCAGGTAGGGTGGTCCCAAACCGTTCAGGGCTTTGTAGGTAAGCACCTGCACCTTAAATTGGGCTCGGAAAATAAACGGCAGCCAGTGGAGCTCCTTAAACAGGAGGGTTGACCTCTCTCTGTAGTGGGCCCCAGTTAACATCCTGGCTGCTGCCCGTTGGACCAATTGGAGTTTCCGAGCCGTTTTCAAGGGCAGCCCCACGTAGAGCGCATTGCAGTAATCCAGTCTGGAGGTGACTAAGGCGTGGACCACCCCGGCCAGATCAGCCTTAGCGAGGTACGGTCGTAGCTGGCGCACAAGTCTCAGTTGTGCAAAAGCCCTCCCGGCCACCGCCGACGCCTGAGCCTCAAGCGTGAGCGATGAATCCAGGAGGACTCCCAAGCTACGGACCTGTGGCTTCAGGGGGAGTGTAACCCCGTCCAACACAGGTTGCCACCCTATACCCCGATCTGGTTTACGATCGACCAGGAGGACCTCTGTCTTGTTGGGATTGATCTTCAGCTTGTTCGTCCTCATCCAGATAAACACAGCGGCCAGGCACTCGTCTAGCACCCGAGAGACCTCCTTGGAATTAGGTGGAAAAGAGTAGTAGAGTTGTGTGTCATCTGCGTAGAGGTGGCACCCAACTCCAAAACTCCGGATGACCTCTCCCAGCGGTTTCATGTAGATGTTAAAAAGCATGGGAGATAGAATAGAGCCTTGCGGGACCCCACAGGTCAAGGGCCAGGGGTCCGAGCAGGCATCTCCCAGCTTCACCATCTGGGTTCGTCCCTCCAGGAAGGACCGGAGCCACGACAGAACCGAGCCCCCGAGACACATCCTGGAGAGGCGACCCAGAAGGATACCTTGATCGATGGTATCGAAAGCCGCTGAGATGTCCAAAAGGACTAGCAGAGTCACACTCCCCCTGTCCATTCCTCTACGGAGGTCATCCACCAAGGCGACCAAGGCTGTCTCGGTGCCATGACCCGGTCTGAAGCCAGACTGTGCCTGATCTAGGTAATCGATGTCATCTAGGAAGCCCTGGAGCTGGAGGGCGACCACCCGCTCCAGCACCTTACCCAAAAAAGGGAGGTTGGAGATCGGCCTGTAATTGTTCAGCACCGTAGAGTCAAGGGAAGACTTCTTAAGGAGTGGGCGAACCACAGCCTGTTTTAAGTTAGATGGAAAAATCCCTTGCTCCAACGATGCGTTAATGATCAACACAAACCAATCAACCAACCCCTCCTTGGCAGATTTAATAGCCAAGATGGGCAAGGGTCTAGAGCCGAAGTGGTCGCCCTCACAGCCCCAAGGACCTCTTCCACAGTCTCAGGAAGAACAAGCCTAAAAGAATCCCACAAACTTGGACAAGCAGATGCCTCAATCACCTCATCTGGTACTGTGATGAAATTGGAGTTGAGCTCAAAGCGTATCTGAGCAACTTTGCCTGCAAAATGGTGTGCGAAATCGCAACACCGAGCTGCTGGGTCGTCCGAGATCTCCTCCACCACAGGTGGGTGAAGGAGCTCCCCGACAACCCGAAACAGCTCTGATGACCTATTTGCTGCAGACGCTATACGGGTGGTCGTGAAAGATTCCCTGGCCACCCGTATAGCCACGGAGTATGCCCTAAGAGAGGCTTTAGCCCGTGCTTGATCAGACACGTCCCAAGATCTTCTCCACTTGCGCTCTAGCCCCCTTCTCGTGTGCTTCATCACAGCCAGCTCCCCGGTGAACCAGGGAGATGGCCTGTCACGACGCAACGAGATGGGGCATTCGGGAGCGATCGTATCTATCGCCCTGGCCATTTCCCTATTATAGAGATCGACCAAGGCGTCGACAGGATCGCCAGGTTCCATGGTAGGAAAGACCCCAAGATTCCTCAGGAATCCCTCCGGATCCATCAGTCTCCTGGGGCGGACCATCTTAATTTGTCCTCCACCCCTACGGAGGTTAAGGGTTGCAGAAATTCTAAAACTGACCAGATAGTGATCAGACCATGACACAGGAAGGATGTTTTGTTCTTCCACTCTGATCATACCACTGTCCACCACAAAAACTAGGTCAAGGGTGTGTCCAGCCTGGTGGGTGGGTCCTGATATAATTTGTGACAGTCCTATGGTCGTCATGGCAGCCATAAAGTCCTGAGCTGCGCCAGACAAAGAGGTCTCAGCATGAATGTTAAAATCTCCCAGCACCACCAAGCGCTGGGAGACCAGGGCCGAATTAGAGACCACTTCCGCTAGCTCAGACAGGGAAA